AATAACGTTCGTATCATGTAAATAATTCAGTATTTTGCCAATTTTTTTGTAAATAGCTCTTAATATCTTCTTTATGGAATTTTTTCTATTTTTGCACATGCCCCTCGTGGAAATCAGCTTCGGTTGATGGGGTTAGCATGTATAAATAAAGTTATCTATCTATCTATCCCTTACAGCTCTTTGATCAACTTTCATCTGCAGAGAAGCCATTTTGTTCAGCTCATCTGACACTTTACTCCAAGCACTGCCACTCTGATTAGTCCTCGGTCTGAACCGGAATGGTTCGATAAGCAGGATTTGCTTGCATAGTGCATCATCTTGTTCTTGTGTCCAAATCATTGGGGATGCCCTGAAAAGATGTAAAAAAATTAAATTAAATACACACGTGATTGTGGCATCTGTGCTTGTGGATCAAATAACCTCCCACAAACTCAGTTCTCAAAATGGCAAAAGGAGAATTAGCAGGGATGGATTATCTTGGATTAACATGACCGGCACAACTCGGCACCAGAGCTGGCAGAGAACCCTCCACCGAATCATGCTGGATCCATCCCTGAGAATTAGTATTGCCATCCTTTATTAATAAATACCTCACAGCATTGTCAGAGTAAGGGGAGGGGAGGTGAGGCAGCCAGAGTACCTGAGCAAGCTCGCTTTGCAGAGATCTAAAATTGTTATGTCAATTTATACTCTAATATTCATCTTGCATTTATATGGGAACTGGGTTGGCCTGCCTACCAGGCAATATCTTGCTTTGTGAAGCTGGTAAACACATAATTAAAGAATCTCTGCAAAGCGAGCTAGCTCAGGGCTGGCTTGCCTCCACATAATAATCACTGCCTAAGTAGTAAGAACTCCAAAAGATCCTGAACAGTATGAATGACAAAATCTAATAATAAAATAGACTATAAATAATCCTTTCTTTAGGTTTTCTTCTAATATAACAATTGAACAGAACAAATTCTCACCTTTGCTTTGTTGTGCCTTCCTTGTATGTGACATTGGCTGTATTGTTTGTCATCTAGAATAGATATAAAAAGTATTCAATGACAATCACTATACTGTAATAAGAACACGTTTATATTACTGTAAAAGCAGTAAACATGTATTTATACAGGGTGTATAAAAAAAAAGCGCAATCCTCGACTGAAATGTAAATTGCTAAACAAATAATAGACGAAAACTTTAACAGTTTACATTCATTTTAAAGCGTAGCCATTCAGCTTTCTAACAGTGGGTTGTTTCTTAAATTTGACTCATTGGTTCGCGGGTAATAATACTTTACGTTATTGCGATTGGAGATTAAAAAAAATTGAGATGGAATAACAAATCGTTCTCATGAAAATAACTGATTTTTTCATTAAAACAAAAAAATGTTACATTTTATTAAATGGATTGTAACAATAAGTATAATTACGGCTTTTCTTCCGCTATTTTTAACTCAGTTTGAAACTTCAAATGCGATATAATTTTGGCTTGGACCATCTAAGCTGACTGACATCATCTTGCTATAATTTCTGTTTACATTACATCTCAATTCGATGACACTCTGGCTCAGACACCAGAATGTTTTGATTCTATGATTTTTAGCATTCGTGTAGGATTTTCAAACAACCTAGTCTCTTTTAAAATACTTTTAATTTGTTTCAAGATGTAGTGACGACAACATTAAAGTTTAAGAAGAAATTCAACATTTAAACCACTAAACAATAACATAGTAAACTGCATAATTAAACAGCAATTTAACAACACATTATATTTAATCAAATTAAAACGTAGTACTTGAAATAAGAATCGATAATTGACAAAAATGATTTCAACTTCAGCCCAATGACCTGACATTTCTGCTGGCAACGCTATAACCATGTGCTTCAAAACGAATACTTCAGAAAGCCGGATAAAATACATATTTTCGTAAATTATTTGTAAGTATATTTTGCTATTTAAGAGCAAAATGGTTGTAGAAAGCGAGTCATGTGAAAAAAATTATGTAAATGAGATATTTTTGCTTTTATTTACCTTTGTCTTTTAGCAATGACTTGTCAACCTCAAAATAGGCAATCTGCAGTCATCGACAAAATCATGACCGCCCTTGCGAACACAAACATCATCAATAACACATGCGCAGTTGAAATCTATGAGGTCATTGCATAAAGTCCCTATTAGTTATCAGTCTGATGACTCAGAGTTCAATTTTATTCCAGGATATGCTATTCTGGAAGATGCTGAATATGAATATTCAGATAACAGGGCAGCAGATGGCAAGGCTGTAAGTGAAACATCAAACGATGTTTCTCTGGTTTAGCATATGCTGACAAGCCTTTAGCTGACGAAGAATGGTTACAAAATTATCAGGAAGCAGAGAATAAATGTCTTGAAGAGGAACTGAATTTCCTTAAAAGGTTTGATGAGTTTTTTGAAATTAGTGAATGGTTAAAACTATATATATTTCATGGTTCTCTACAGAATTACTTCGAAGATTCCTTTCAGTAATGTATAATTTTAGCTTTAGTTTTGCAGTTTCCTCCATACAGGTGCAAATGTGGAAACTGTAGCAGAGAATTTCTAAGTAATGCCCATGAATGTTTCTGCTGCTTGGAAATTGATGAATGTGGACAAGCACTAAACACAGAGTTAGTAATCATGGATGTTGGAGAAAATGCAAATCTGAAGTGTATAACTGAACATCCTGGCTTTAACCCTATTTGCCTACAAAAGTGGAGCTTACGAATGTCAGCGGACAGATACAAAACAAAAAGTAAAGCCAAATATACTCAGAAGGAAGGTAAGAAAACTTTCTACACATATGGGATGGAACCACCTTATCTGGCATGTGGGTGGAATAACTGTCAGCTGAGGAACGTTGTACGCTAACCCAAAGCCAATTTTGTTGTTCACATAAAACTTTCACTAACAAAATTTAATGGCCAAAATTTGCTTTTTTGCCCAGTGCAAAAATTTGCCTAGTGTAAAATCAGCTTATTATATTGACAGCGTTGCACTGAAGGTAACACTTGGGATGGTCTAGAACCTATGTTTAGTATATTTTGAGTTTGTCATGTCATGAAATGTCATGTCAGATAATCTGTCTGGATTGTCGAATCTCACAAAGACCCAACAATACTAATATAGGCATAAATACAGATCGGATGTCATAAGGAAATAAGGTCACTGCGCAAGCTTTCACTGCGCTGGCCATCAGGTCGGGGCCAATGTGCGCGGGATTCACTCATGTTGTTTTACACTGTATGTTAATAAGCTGACATGAAGTACTACCTGTATATTCCCTGTATTGTTGGTGCTTGTCACCTTGTTGTTTTTCTAAAACTTTTCCAACCTCGCAAGCCAGCCTTTCTACTATAAAACTTTTCAAGCTTCATGAGTTGATGTCGACTTTTTATATGCCTTTTGTATAAATTGAAATAAATTCAGTATTTTTATTTTTGTCGTTGTTTGGTGAGAACTAGGATCTAGAGTCTAAAGAATAAACAAATATGCTTTGCAAGGTCACAAGAAGAAGAAGTAGGCATTGTTTACAGTAAACAATCACTAAACTTTGAAACGTTGTTGTTACTGTTGACATATTTTCAGTTCGCACGACATGAAGCTGCATGGCATTTCAGGTTGCAGCGGCATAGCCTGCTCGATAATTGGGGGGGTCCATATTCATATGTTTGTGTTCTGCATTATTAATTTCTTTTGAAAACGATTTTTTTAAGGTCTGTGAACATGAGCCGCTGCCAGGTTGCATAATTTTTAAGACAAGTGTAGAACAGCGAGTTATGTGAAAACATTTAATAAAATGTTTGGCCAAAAACGAAATTTTGCAATCAGATATATGATAAGGACAAAAATTTATATAAAATAATTCGGCCACAATTTGACATGTAAAGCCGATTTAGATCAGTGCAAAATGTTGTTTTTGCGATCACTTTCTTTTGAAATGTGTGTGGTCAACTTATCCGTTCAGTTTATTGCATGTATTTCAAAAGTCAATCGACAACATTTTGCACTGATAGGAAAATCAACCTTTACTATCATGTTTTGTCACGGTTTTAATTATAATTATAAATTACATAGCAATTTTAAAAGCTACCTATATTGAATATCAAGGGGGAAGGCCGGGGGAGTTCACACTACTTCCCCCTCCCCCCCGGTGTGCGGGGAATTAATCAAGGTTCACACACGAAGAGAGTGAATTTCCCCGGTATCCCCGATTTGGCAATTATAACCCATTGAGTGGCAGCACCCTTCCTTGATGAGTAAAATCATCTGGCATTAGACAGTGAAATAATGTGGGGCACATTAGGTTACTTTGTCACTCAATTATCCAGATTTGTCTAACACCATATTATTTTGCTTGTCAAGAGAAGGCATTGGCACCCATGGGTCAATTAATAGTCTAAAATTATTATGCATAGTGTTTGTTATAAAAATCAAATTTAACTAATGAAATACTGTTTCATTGACTGTTATTTTTTGGGCAGTCTTTGATATTTTTGTGTCCCTTCATCTGATGTTTGCATGTCTTGCAGTGGCGTATGGCTTTTACTGGTCTTTTTTGCATGGCTCTTTGAACTTCTGAAACTGTTAAGATAAAAAGTAAGAATGATATATTTTACATATTTTAAATACTATACAGATTATTGGCAAATGTAGTAGAACATAACACAACATGTTGACAAGAAAATCATAATTAGCTCCATGCAAGAGAAAAAATAGTAAAGTGATTGTTTGTATGGTAGAAATATTGGTACCTGGAGTTGTGGGTGGGACATCCTGGATTACCATCTTGCTTCTTTCTGGGGTTTTTTGCTATTGCATCAGCCTTTGACTGTTTATCTAGCATCGAATTCATAGGCTCTGAAGTCAACTCACTTAGCTTCTGGGCAGCATCTTTTAGGTCATTTTTATGGCTCATATTTCCTGAACATATGCTACAACACAGAGTAAATTATTTATTCAGTTATTTCATCACTAAGAAATATAATGACAAACTAGATATAAAGCATTTCTGAATTTTTAAGTTTGTAAACTTACCCAAGTTTTGTTTAACCCTCACATGCCTTACTGTTGCCTCACCATTTTTAAATTTAGGGTAAGTGACTTTCATCTTCCCAATGTTGTCTCTTTTACTTGTTTGGACATCCTGTTGCAGGTTGCAATTGAAGTGTATGATAGCTAATATATGCCTAAAAAGAAAGAATTGGAACTGTATTGTATTTACAGTAGCATACTACATGAATTGTTATGGTTGCCCTATTATACATCCAAACAAGCATGTACCAAGAGATGATATAAAAAATACCCTTGGTATAGATAAAACTGAATATGTTGATAAAAATTAAGTTTGCAGACTAACCTACAGTACTGGCCAACATAGCTATATGCTATCATTTTGGGGGCAAAGTGGTTCAAAACACTGTGAAATCCTTCTAAACAGCTTGTTTGATCTAATGGCGATGTTTGTTGAATCCCTTTGACTAGCCATGTATTTGGTCAAGGCATTGCACACTTTTTCATGCAATGGTGAATCTGAAAAATAAACGATAGGATGTTAGACAAAATGTAACAGGGATGGATCAGGGGCCAATGGGTGCTCAATGATCTTTGGTCATGGTTCATTTGTGATTTACGCACTTGTTGTTAACCACTTCCTTGGTTCAATATTATTACCATGGGCACATTGATTAAATAGGGGATCATTGTGATTGAAGTGCTTATTGACTATATGCATCAGAAACGACTTGCCCAAATGCTCCACGGTCCAGAATATCGTTTCTGGGTAGCCTCACTCCATGAGGACAGGAGAATTCCTCTAGCCGCGGTTGAAAGTCCCTCTGAGCGATAGCGCTTGTGGATACTGGGCAGACGGTTAGGTGTAGCTTGTGCTGAAGTTCCCTCTCGGGCTCGAAGGGCAAGGATATCAGGTTCGGACGCTGAGGAAGTAATTGGGAGTAATCCACCAGCATCTCCAACAGTTGTGGAAACCATGGTGGAAACCATGGAAACCAAGCCAATGTGGGGCTAGAATGAGGGCTGTTGCTCGGTCCACATTGATCTTGTTGAGTATCCTTGGTAGCAAGATTACCAGTGGGTATATCCAGCTTCTCCACTTGCTCCAATCGCTGAGAAAGGCATCCATTGCTTTGCTTCTGGATCTGGATGGCGAGAGACATTGTGGCAGAAGATGGCTGGTTTGTGAGGCAAATAGATCCACTGATGGTCGGTAAAACCGTTTGATCACTTGCTTGAAGATATCTAGGTGTAACGTCCATTCCAAGTTGTTGTTGAAGCATCTTGATGCTGCATCCGCCACCTCGTTCGACGACCCTGGAATGTGTTGTGCTGTAATCCAAGAGCCTTTCCCCAGGACTAATGCCCAAACATCCAGTGCTTGAACTGAAAGCGCATGGGATCTGGTCCCCCCTCTCTTGTTCACATAGGCAACAGCAGTGGAATTGTTCATCCGCAAAAAAATATGATTGGGGATGGACGTCTGGGAGTTGAAAAGGGCTTGTAATCCCAGGTAAGCTGCTTTGAGTTCCAAACAATTGATGTGCGATTTCCCCTCCTGTGGAAGCCAACGACCACCTGTTGTCACCCCATTCCATGTTGCCCCCCACCCCAACAGGGAGGCATCGGTTGAAATAGTCAAGTTGAAGGGTACTGGGCGCATAGGTTGGCCATTGAATGTGTGAAGATGGGGGGATGACCACCATATCAGTTCTGTCATACTTGCTTGGGATAACGTCACCTGAAAATGTTTTTGATGCTTGCCACATTGATTAGATATTGCCTGGTCACGCTGTAGGCTGCGATAATATAAGGATGCTCTCCAAACCGCTGTCTGAGCTGCATGACTCATTCTGCCAATAAGGGATGATAGCTTCTCTAAAGATATTGGACTGGTCTGTTGGATTTGGTGGGCTTCTTGGATGATTAACTCCAACTTCTCTGGTGGAAGTGAGATTGTCATCTTCATTGTGTCCAGCAGACCTCCCGTGAACACTTCTCGCGCTTGATGGTAAATCCTAGGTTCTGAAGTAGGCCAGAATTGTTCTCTTTCTCCACTAGAAATAATGTTGACACAAACTGATCCGGAACTGGTTGGACCAGCTTGATTGCTGCCTTGTTGAGCAACTCCTGAACTGCATTGTCAATGAGGTGCTGCTGTCGTAATGGAGGATTGGTCTCTCTCAATCTCCATTGGTGTGGAGAACGGATCAGAGGTATTTTGTAACCCTGTACCGTTTGTAGGATCCAAGGATCCTGAGTGATTATCTTCCAATTTTCTAAACAATTAATTAGGCGGCATGCAGTTGGGAATGTGTGCAATTGTATGTTTGTTAATCGTGGAAATGGATAGTCAGCTTTTGCCTGCTGCTGACCCAGTTCTGGGTTGGAATCGTTTTGAGGTTCCCGGATTGTCATCTTGGGGGGTATAGTTCACCTTCGTTTTCGACTGCCATTACCCAGGCTAGTGGCTCCTGAGCGACCACGGAAGGGCTGCCGAGAAGGAATGAATCTTGGTGAAGACAGGGCTTTGTCATGCAGTTTGCTGATCAAACTTTTATTGGTGGCTGTATGATTATGCTCATCTTTGATACGGTCATGAAACCAATCTGGGAAGAGGTGTTGATCAGATGAAATCTCTTCCTTACGCTTGCCAACCTCAGTTAGGTACTCAGAAAATTGACACTGTCGCCATGAATTTAGACGAACATTAGCATTGCCTAGAAGGACTAGGGCATCTTCATGCATACCCTTAACTAGATCAGGATCTGGACCCTCTTCACTGGGGTGATCCAGTGCAGTAAGTGCGGTAAGCAAAAATGCCCACTGCTTTTCAGCCAAGGCATCATCAAATGCAAACACATCCTTGGTTTTAAGATACCCATGCATCTTGCATATCTCTTCTTTCATACCTGCCTCCATTGTGGGGGCATGTAATATTGATTCAGTGCCTTCTAGGGATGGATAGTTCTTCAAGGAGACCCTGCCATGTTTCCTTCGGTAGGGATTTTGAAAAGGCTTGAGTGGTTGGTTCTCTCAAATCATCAGAGAGTTCAACCTTTGATTCAGTGGTGTAAAAGCGATCCCCTTGAGATGGGCCAGGGTGTGTTTGAACCTGGTCAGTGGCTGCAGGTTCTATACTTTGTGTAGGTGTTATTACACCCAATGATTTTAAGCCCCATGCAGTTAGGACACTTGATGAGGCAAGTGGCAATGTTTTCGCCACTGTCTCAGCCACAAGTTTCTCAATGTCTACACGAGCATTTTCGTTACCCTAGGTGGTCAATGACGCGTACCTTCTATTGAATACAATATTATACGATAGAACCCCGAACCAAGGTAATATTCCCCAAAACAATCTATAACTCACTATTTTGACCCAATATAAACAGTCAAACGACATAGATTTCATAGATATTTTCCCCGAAAAATATATAATTATGAATGTAAATATATTAAAAAATGATCATATTCTGTTACTCACAGTTAGTGCTTACTTAGAGGCCATGATCTCAAGACTTTTCCCGCAGGATGCTTGTGAAACAGATGGATTATAGTTCATAAATATGGAAATGATTTACTGTGATTCGACAAAAAAACACGCCACAAGAGAAAAGAGGACATTCTGGACATGTGCAGTTCATTTTATTATTTGTGGTATCCAGACTTCTCGCCGCTTGAGATCTGCAACAGTATTGTGAGTATCAGTTGGAGAAGAAATGAAGGAGAATTACACTGTGCAAACATCTATATTCAGCAAGCATTTGTGCAACATCTGCCTCCTCAATTGTTCTGAAACTCAACTATATTATGCAGTATTTCATGCTCTTTCCCATGATGTACGTCAAAATGGCAAGGATTAGTAGTGTGATAACTGCTGTAAATGTATATATTAGCATAATTAGTCATTCAAATTGTAGTGCATGTGCTAAGATGTGACACACCGAACTTAGTTATTAGGAATTGAGAATTAGACGTATGAACAACCTTTCGAAGCAGTTTAAACATTGGACAAATATGTAAGTTATCTAGTTAGAAATTGAACATGATTTTATTTGATTTTAGCTTAGCTTAATCTAATATTTATTGCATTAACTTTGTAGTTTACGAATTCAAATTATACAACTAACGACAAAGTCTACGCGAATTCAGTAAAATAGTCTAAACAGAAGCCACGACACCTCTTGAAAGTCGGTGATAGATCTTGAGAGTCGAATCGCTTCAGCTACAACTGCTTTTGGATATATATTAAATGCTAGACTGCAGAATGAGTCTTGTGACTTTCAAATTAATTATCATAATTGTAAAAATTACTAAACAGAGTAATGAGTAAACTTATAATTGCTTATCTGAAAAGGTAATTATTACAAAATTTCTTTCTTTCAAAAGTAATCAATTACAAACAATAATTATTTTTCAAAACGTAATTGATTACTAATTACTTGTCAGTTTTCTTTTTTGCTTGGGTTAATAAGATTGACATGCTACAATCAAAATACAGCTAAGTGACATACAAAACAAATTGTATGATCCAACTGCATGCATTGAATTTGTTTCTTAATTAATTTGAGCTGGTAAACTTCTGTACATGTTCAGTTGCATGACCAATTAACCCTCCATTTCCAGATATGGACATTTTGTGGTTGCGGAAAATAAAAAAGGTAAAAAAACAATATGCATAATGCTAAGACCTCCAATTGCAAAATTAATGTTGAATTGGTGTGACCTTTTTTATTTAGATAATGAATTTTTAGATTGTTTCATAAGTGCTCCTGCTACCAAAAGAATTTTAATAAGGTGGTCTTATACCTTGGAATTTTTTTTATCATTTGGAGTATTACTATATTTGGGTTTCAAGTTGTAAAGGATAAGTTGCTGACACAGAATCAATCACTTATACATATGTTTTTGCATGGTCACCATGCAACGCCATTTTATTGTGCAGAGATTTAAAAATATTATTTTAAATATTATAGATATTGACAGAGATTTAAAAATACATTTTTTGGATGCCCAATGAATGGATCTATGCTCTGAACCTAAAACAATTGTCATCTAAGGGCATAAGACCATTTTTATTCATAATATTTAATGAAAATACTCTAAAGTCGGTATAAGTGAAGGTAAACAATAGGGCTTTACATAGTGATTTTTCTCAGGTATGAGATGTTTTAGGTTCACAACATGGCTGCATTAGTAGTGATATATTACTGAAAGTTTGAGACTGATTGGACATATATTAAACTCAGGAGAGTTTTTGGCATCTAGCAAAAGGTCAATTTGAGAAAATTAAGCTTAAAGTTTTTTTAAAATTATTCATCAATAACCACAGTACATTGCCAATGAAAAAATGGAGTAGAACCTCTAGAGAAGAGTAGTACAGAAGCCTAGACGCGACACGCTAAGTACGTTTTTCACTTTTACATTTTTCGGTTCGTGATTTTTAGGTTCTTGATTTTTAGGGTCGTGATTTTTAGGTTCGTGATTTTTAGGTTCGTGATTTTTCGGTTCTTGATTTTTAGGTTCGTGATTTTTAGGTTCGTGATTTTTAGGTTCGTGATTTTTCGGTTCATGATTTTTCGGTTCGTGATTTTTCAGTTCTTGATTTTTAGGTTTGTGATTTTTAGGTTCGTGATTTTTGGGTTTTAGATTTTCAGAAAGATTTTCAGAGATTTTCCAAAATCTATATTTAGATTTTAATTTTTAGATTTCTATTCTATTTGAAGGCCAGTAGTAAATTGCAAATAGCAGTCCCGTATAATATTGAACATTAGCTATACATATGGCGATTAAAACACATAGTGCCGACTGCCATGATATTATTTATCGTTTCAGTAGGTAATTACAACTCACTTCACACATATTCAAGCTTAGGGGCCGATTACATGGAGGTTTTCAGCCCGGGTTGAAATTTCAGCCCGGCAAACCAGGATGAAATTTCAGCCTGGGGCCCCTATAAATTCAATATAAAATGAATTTTACGATTACATGGGAAAAATTTCAACCCGGGCTGAATTTCAGCCCAGGTTGAAATTTTCATCCCGGTGTATGTCACCCGGGATGAGATTTTCAGCCCTGTCAACCAGGATGAAATATCCCATGTAATCGCAAATAATTTCAGCCCGGGCTAAAAAAACAATCGTTTAAATGGCTTTATTTTGCGTTTCGTCTCAGCTTTCATACTTTATATGCAACCACAGTCTTACACAAGTCAAATAGTCGACTAATCTGCGTAGAAACATGGAGACGAGGCGTAGAAGCGTTGAAAATCGAGCAAAAAGTGAACGAGGACGAAGTCGCTACGTGGAATTCTCAAGTAGAGACTGAGCTAGAGAAAGCAGACGACGATGTGAAGCACTTAGAGAAATGGCAGGACGATTGCAAACTGGAAAAGGAGAGAAATGCTTTCGAAGAGAAATTGAAATACGAGGTAAAACTACATGAAACTAAACTAAAACTCGAGTCCGGACATCAAGCGAAGTTGGAAAGTGGAAGTTCGTCAAAGGAAAAATATGCCAAGCAAGTGGAAGCGAAACTACCAAAACTCATGTCAAAATTTGACGGAAATTACATGGATTGGCAACGGTTTTGGGGTCAATTCACCAAATCGATTGAAAAATCTGGGTTAGCAAACATTGCCAAATTTTCATATCTGAGAGAACTTCTTGTCTTGGAGACAATAGAGGGCCATTTATACGGAACAAAATAAGTTGCGACTTACATAAGACGCAACTTAAATAAGCGGATTTATCGCATAAATGGTTCTCTACGGCTTTGGTCTTACTTATTTGCTATAGCTATAATGTTGTTTTGGTTGTTTTTGTTTTAATATGCAAGGCTAATAATTTTACGTTGTTTCAAGTTTCTGGCATGTGTAGTTAGACTTTTTGCCCAAAATTTCTTATTTAAGATGCGACTTAAATAAGAACAGCTAAAAGACCTGTTCTTATGTAAGACGCGTCTTATCCAAGATGCGTCTTACATAAGAATTTTGTACCTTTTATACGACAAACTCGCGTTATTATTTTGTTCCGTATAAATGGCCCTAATGTCAGACGTGAAGTTGAGTCCTTACCATTTACATCGGAAGGCTACAATCGAACAAAGGCTATATTGGAGGAAAAATATGGCAAAGAATCAGAGTTAGTGAAGTCTTATGTGAAATAAATTTTGAGCTTACCATACATTTCGACAGCGAATTCGAAGAAAATTGCCGAGTTTAGTGACAAACTGACATATTGTTTCCAGTCCCTGCAGTCGCTCAAGAAGCTGGACAAAGTGAAGTGTCTTACTATGGTTACCATTGAAAAGTTGCCAGGTATACGGGGTGATCTTGTAAGATCTGACAGTGATTGGGAGACATGGAATCTTGATCAGCTAGCAGAAGCAGTGCGTCTTTGGATATGGAGAAACCCAGTTGATCATAGCGGAGATGATGATCAAACGAAGAAGCGTCGAGAACGAAAGAGAATGTACCTCACCAATTGAACTGACAAATCTCGAGGGTGCATCTACTGTGACAGTAGTGAGCACAAAGCTGTTGAATGCACTAAAGTTACTGCCGTAGATGACCGGAAACAGATTTTGGCGAAGAAGCGATTGTGTTTCAACTGTGCGGTTGAGACTCATCGGGCCGCACAATGCCAAAGCAAAACATCATGCCAAACTTGTCATAGGAGACATCATACATCAATATGTGACAAAACTCAGCCGGAAGAGATCAAGAAAGTAGTATTAACACCAAGTGGAGTGGGGGAAGGAGTTTTTCCAGTGGTTGTGCTTAAAGTGGATGGAATCATAATGAGAGCACTGATCGATACAGGAGCCGGCAGGTCTTATATCTCAGCTAAAGTCGGAGATTTGCTGAACAAGAAACCCTCGGAAGCTTCAACCAAACGTATCGAGATGTTAATGGGCTCTCACCTTATGAGAATGGAAACGTATGATGTTATTGTTGAATCCCTTGACAACTCCTTCAAGATGGATGCAAAGCTCACAAAGGTTGACAAGAACGAACTGTTGTCGATAGAAAATCCACAGTATGAACATGTTAAAGCCAAGTACCCCCACCTAGCACAAGTCAACTTGACGGACAACAACAAGAAAGACCAATTACCAATTCATGTTATTTCAAGCGTGGGTGACTATGCGAGAATTAAGACCAACCGACCACCAGTGGTAGGTGAAGCTGGAGAACCTGTTGCTGAATACACCAAACAGCGAAGGTTTATCATGTCGCCCGGAAATGAAATCGACCGACAAACTATGTTTCTTACCCAGACCAGCCATGTAGATTATGAGGAACTGTGTCGTCTTGATGTGTTGGGGCTCAAAGATTCCACAGAACACGATCAGGACATAGTGCATGCAGAGTTCAAGGATCAGCTAGTGAAGGATGGTACGAGACAGGACTGCCCGCCAACAAACAGGGAAGTCTCCGTCGTCTGAGTAGTCTAACAAAGAAGTTGAAGCGAGACGGGCACATCGAAGAATACAACGCTGTTATTCGAGCACAACTCCAAGAAGGCATTGTGGAAGAGGCACATACAACGGTCACTGATAAAGAGTTCTACATCCCTCATAAGGGCATGGTCAAGGAGTCATCAGAGACAACTAAATTGCAAGTCGTCTACGATGCTTCAGCGAAAGAAGACCCATCATCACCTTCCCTAAACGAATGTCTATACCCTGGCACACCCCTCCAGAATAAGCTTTGGGACGTATTGATACAGCAAAGAGCGTTCCCAGTGATGGTTTCCAGTGATATATGTCAAGCCTTCCTGCAAATCCGGATCAAAGCAGCTGAGAGAGACGCGCTACGGTTTCATTGGTGTCGAGATGATCTGTCACCATTGAAGACCTTACGGTTTACGAGAGTCTTATTTGGTCTTGTACCCTCGCCTTATCTACTCCATGGTGTAATCGAGACTCATTTAGACATCTGGTCCAAAACTTACCTTGAGGAAGTCGAGCATCTACGTCGAAGCATGTACGTGGACGATCTACTAAGCGGCGGTTTGACAGTGGACCAACCTACGAGACGCAAAGAAATTTCCCGAGAAATTTTACAGGACGCTACATTTGAACTTCATAAGTGGAGCTCCAATGTACCACAGTTGGAAGTTGACGAGGTTCATCAAGTATCGGAATTTTCGGACGAACAGTCTTATGCAAAGACACAGCTGATGGTGAAACCCAAAGAATCGAAAGTGCTCGTCTAAAATGGGACAAACAAAGTGACACGTTGAAGATTTCATTTCTAAGTGAAGAAGTACCGGCGACGAAGCGAGGTATCTTAAGTAAACTGGCAAAGATTTATGACCCTCTAGGGTTGGTTTCACCGCTGATCTTCGAGGGGAAACTCCTATTCCGCGACGTGTGCGATGCAAAGTGGATGGGATTGATAATGATTTGCATAAAAGTGCATTTCGGTCATATTTATAACAGTTAATCCTTGTGTTAATAAAATGAAGGTATACATAAATTCAGAACACTGTCACTGAGGACAGTAGAAATATTTTCGTATACAGTATTAAAACAAAGTATTATACAATATTCAAAGGCTATTTTAATAGCAAAAAGTGGCAAAATAAAGTAACAGGATTTTGTTTGGGCATGTCATAGTATAAGAAAGCCCCATTTACAGTTATTATTATGCATCTTGTTTGCTGTGAATTTTAGTCATTATAATTACTATCTTAACAATACTTGTATAAAGTCAACTTATATATAATCAGGTATTTTATGTTCTGCTTTAGTTCCCACCTTGGCTTGTAGCTGGTGCTATTCATACCTTTAATTTACCCCAGAAAAGCATACCTCTCTACATTGACAATTGGAGCCAGGTAACGTTGCTGGTCGTCACACTGGTCAGAGGAGTAAATGGTATGGTGGATTAGAAAAGGCCTTGCCATAACGTAAACAGAAGAAGTAATCTAGTGAGAAATTTTGTGGGGGTTTTGTACCCAGAGCTGTCATTAAGGGCTTGTAGCTGGCCAAAATTACTGCCCACTTGGCTATCTGGCTGCCTACTTTTGTCTCAACAAAGTTCATATATTATAAACAAAACTGTGAATAAAAAAAAACCCTTTTACTTCCTGTACTTCAGAACATCAAAATTACAACAAAAGATTAAATTATTTGAAACAGGTCAGGCTTTGATAGGATGTTTTGTAATATAAAGAACTCTGTAAAACACCTTCCAAAATGCAGGGAATGGCATTTCCGATTGTTTAGATTTTGGGTTGGGGGCATGCACCCAGACCCCTGTTCAATCATTTTCGGCCACCTACTTGTAAACTTAATGACAGCACTGCTTCAAAAGAGTAATATGCAATAATTTGTACATTGGTATAAAATAATTATTGAAACAGATTATAAATGAATAGGTGAACAATAAGACTAGAACAATATATTACCTTAGTTAAATAATCTTATTATGACAACTTTATCAACATGTAAAGAAGTAGGTTTGGCTATTCTCTCTCTCCTCTGCACAAGACATTGGTAGGCTCAACTTTGAGTTATTGTGGTGTGAGAGACAACAACGGCTAGAATCGGAGCACACTGACGTAGTGAATAAGTACACCATTCACATCTGAATTTGGCTGTCAACCTTTTTCATTATTTTCGTTTTTTTTGTTGCAATTGTACTTATCAATATCGCTGCAAATAAGAAACTTTGAACAGCCATACAGTTTAACAATGTTCTCAAAACACAAGGACTCTGGCATTCTTTTGATACTGCAACATTAGATTGCTCAATAATGTCATTCCACAAACTTTTTGCTAATGGAGGAGCTTGGACGTTCTTATTATGACAACTTTATCAACATGTAAAGAAGTAGGTTTGGCTATTCTCTCTCTCCTCTGCAGAGGCTTCTGTTGGCCATGATTACAATTAGTATTGAGATACATTTCTCTGCCGAGGAGAGAGGCCAATTCTTGTGTGCTTTCTAAAGCACGATTCAGGGATTCTAGTAATATCATTAAGTCATGAATTTGGTTCCCACAGCCCTGTAACATAAGCAAGTGGTCCAAGCTCTTCTGATTTCACTGATAATTACTAGTGGAATAAAAACATTAAATATTATATAATACCTTATTGAATTCTGATCGTTTAATTGGCTGTTTATTGTCACGTGATATTGAATAGAACATTCCATTTCCCAAGAGTGCAATGGAGTGCAATGGAATAAAACGTATAGTACAATTGCACTCTTTGTGTTTTCGATAAATCGCATCCCTCAAAATGCTTCTCATATGAAAATATTAGTCTATTTTGATATTATATAAAACAAATAATGAATGTTTATGAGTGCAATGGTAAGAATATTTTCATTCAGTGAAAGATGGAATATTCCATTCAACTCGGCTGTCGCCTCGTTGAATGGACTTCTGGCATCCAACAGTTGGTCTACAAAGCCTTTGGAGAGGAATAAGAACTAAGTTTAATACCCTTACGTCAATATTGTACCATACAGAGGAAATATCAAACAAGAAATATCATGGAATCTTGGAATAACATTTCTATTTTGATGTGACAGAATGATCAAAACTAACAAATTACATGTCAGTAATGTCATTACATGTCATTACATGTCTGCGAGTGCAATGGAATAAAACGTATAGTACAATTGCACTCTTTGTGTTTTCGATAAATCGCATCCCTCAAAATGCTTCTCATATGAAAATATTAGTCTATTTTGATATTATATAAAACAAATAATGAATGTTTATGAGTGCAATGGTAAGAATATTTTCATTCAGTGAAAGATGGAATTTTCCATTCAACTCGGCTGTCGCCTCGTTGAATGGACTTCTGGCATCCAACAGTTGGTCTACAAAGCGTTTGGAGAGGAATAAGAACTAAGTTTAATACCCTTACGTCAATATTGTACCATACAGAGGAAATATCAAACAAGAAATATCATGGAATCTTGGAATAACATTTCTATTTTGATGTGACAGAATGATCAAAACTAACAAATACATGTCAGTAGACATTGAATCACTGTATAGTAGGTCAATATCTGGACTTGTAATTGACAATTCGATGTAAGCCTTAGGACCTGCTATTTATGACATTCATATCTAGACTATATTGTCTATAAATATACAGTAAGATATTTTATACTGGTATTAATTAAAGCATGACGTTTGTTTAGTGTTTTATATAATATAAACTTTAGAATATCTGCTGGTTAGCAAAATCAACCGTTCGGGCATATTCACCAGCATCAAAAGCACAACTTTATCTTCTTTGCATGGATGAAAATATTCTTTCCTTTTCCCTACCTCTCGAATGATCGACAATGCCTTCTCATGCGCGATAAGTCATATATAAACATGGGTTTTGTTTTCCTAGTTTGCCAGTACTAGCTATGTAGAATTTGTCCAGTGCTTTATAATACTGCGTCAATATTCGCACAGCAATTGCTTTAATCCTTCAATCTAAACGACAAATATAAGTCGAATATTAAGTCTAAGGCATCTCACTACATATTGTTTAATTGGACACAGTATAAAGGACTTACTTCTTCAACTGAACATGATATTTCTTCAGTTAATTCATCCGCGTTGATTCACAGCAGCTAAATAGTTCGATGAAAATCGCCTCCGTCATTGTATCTGCATCTCCAGCACCCAGAATTGGAAGAATTTTGCTTTCTGAATTGTATGCCGAACTTGTCGAAGCCATAACAAGAACAACAATGCCTTATTTTAAAATTTATAAGCACAATAGCATATTTCTGTAATACTACGCTATAGTAATTTCTGAATTTGATGCACCCGAAATGTCATGTGACGTACCTTTCCAACATCTGAAATTAATTAGCTCGAAAGCCTTTGAAGTTTGCTGGCCTTCCAAACCCTCTCCTCTATTAACTATGGCTTACCCGAGCATCAAACTGAATTCCGCTACGTCGACCAATCAGAATTTACCTTCCAAATTCTGGAAAGTGACGTCAGTTGATGTCATGTGACGTCATGGCATATAGGAAGTATCAAGAGCAACATTTGGACATATCCTGGTTCCCGATTGATTGTTTGTCATTGTTATAAACAAAAATTTAAATTTCGCCTACTGCATTGCTTTAGCACTTTATATACACCGATTGTTTGCTGAACATGCGAGAAGATGATCACAATATTATTCTACATAAACATCGTAAGTTCAACGCTATAGTTTCCAAAATATATCCACGCAAGTAAATAAATTTCAAGTTTCAACCCAAACAATATATTCCAATGCATGTGCAAGGGGTTTCCCCAGTAGCTAATCTCTCAATAAGGCGGCTTGCAATTGGCTCTAACGTTTTTGAACACTGCCAGATGATTGGCTCCTAAAACAAAGGGAATTGAATATGCAGCTCGAGTAAGCAGACAGTAGTATTTCGTCGCTTGGCATAAGAACTACAACGTCTGTGAGCAGGCTAGGCCGTGTGTGGCTAGCTATATATATCATATAACTAGAAATACATGCATGCAATAACCCCTCGCTTCTTTTCAAAAGATGTATACTTAGTGCTCAGAGCTGTTGCGAGGACTTTGTCAGTCAGGAGGAGTGAGGTTAGATTGGGGGGGAGGGGGGGGGCAGTTACGAAAATGACGTCACAAGGCTTGATGCTCGCGAGGAATGCTGGTCTTAGTAGTCAAAATTAAACAATTCAAAATGGCGACTATCAAAATTTTCCCGGGCGGTGACTACTAAGACCAGCATTCCTTGCGGGCCTTGTGACATCATTATGCATAAGATCTATTTACCTAAAAGTTCACTGGAAATCTACCTGAAATTGCTCATGAGCAATTATCAGGGGGGTGGCACACCCCCCCCCCCCCAGACACACACACACACCCTGGTGCCTTTCAAGTGAACGCTCTCTGATTTAATGTCCATGTATTTCACCTACCAATGTATTGTGCATCATACTCTAGCATGGTTCTAATTTATGAGTTTTTAAACTACAACTTGACTGATTTATATTATTATCAAGTTATCAGTGATTGTAAAAGTTGCAGATAAAAGTGTTTTGTTTTATATTATTATCAAGTTATCAGTGATCACAAAACCTCAAAATCCTTAATTTCAAATGCTCTGGCCAGGGTTTGAGTGGAAATGCCCAACCCCTGGCATGTTCTTTACAGGAAAATGGCTGGGGGGGGGGGGTTTGGGCACCCAGACAGCTTGTCAAATATGTACTTTCTATATAGTTGCTAGAAGCTAGTGGACATTAAATACTGGTCAGTAAACACAAATGTATTTTATTTCATAGTATTATAATTTTATTTTTATACTATAAAAATATAAACATACAGATAGAATATGCAAATTCGAGGCAAAATTATTGTTGAATTGGTTTATTTATAGATTTTATAGCAAATAGCAATTATAAAAGTTTATACCTTGTCTTCACATCGCTTCATACTGTTAGCCAATGCTTTTAAATTTACATATTTTAGAATCAGTTCCTTTCCTGGTAACTGTATTTCTACATGAAATCATCGTGAGTAGTGAGCAGGCCGTTTTAAACGAATTTTTTTAGGAATTGATAACAACTTTGAATAATCGTTGCACATTCGGTCACAGTCGGAAAAAAGTTGATAGTATGTTGTACCGTCGTTTGCAACTAACGATGAACAGTCGCTCATAAAAACATATTCGCGTGATCAGAATCTTCAATGTTTGTCAAGAGCAACAACACTTAATTGTTGTTTCCCATGTGTACAATAATAAGTAACAAAACTTTGTATAGTTTGGAGGTGTTGGGCTAGAGACCTACTGGAAACCTTTACAGGCATTTTAATGAGAATAGAGAATGTTTTATCTGCAACTGTTCACCATTAGTTGCAACCGACGGTATTTGACAACAATGTGATAACTGATATAAAGTAGATACAGTCTGGTTACTGACTTGAACTGAACGTGTATGACAAACTCTTTATTGGAAAATTGTGAAGAAACGGAGGGTCGAATATCATACTTGTATAGCTATCATTGGTATATAGCGTTGTGAAGACAAGCCGCAAGGTACTACACTTTTTACACATTTGTAATTGTTATTTTATAATGAACGAATATAAAAGTAAATTTATAGAGCAATTAGGCCATATAAAAAAAAATAGTTGGTTAGCGTCCTTGGCTTTTGCCAAAAAGTGGGCGGGCGGGCGCTTTTTTTTTAATTTTTACTAATTTTTAACGCCTTGGTTTTACTCATTGTTAGGTCCGAAACTGGATTTTCTTGCGCAGTACAGATATTTTTTTATATATTTCAAAATATAATTCATACCGTCATTTTCGCACGCAATTTCGCAAATTATTAACACAATTGACTACAGTCAACAGAAATACTACATATATTAGAGCCCGTTGATCAATAAAAGTCGGGTTTTTTTAAAATAAAAAATAAAAAAAGGTCCTGAGCGGGGCCTTTTTTGTGGGCGGGCGGGGACGCTAACCAACTATTTTTTTTTATGTGGCCTTATATAGAGACCTATAGAACACGAGTATAATGATGATACTGTAGTCTGTAGTTTCATGTATAAGCTAATAACAACAGAAACTAAGGGGACTGTTTGTATGAAGCGGGCTATCTGTGCTAATTTATATCAAGAAAGTATATCCGTTGCCACAAAGGAAAATTTTGATTTAATAACTGAAAGACCAGCTTACACCTGGTCTGAACCGAATATTTTTATCAACTGTTTCAAATAGTCTTGAATGCAATACAGGGAAGAAAGTATAAATCAACCTGTTGAGATGGCTGGGCTAGCTTTTTCATATAAACAGCCCTAATTAGTAATATCAACATTCAAGTATTTAACATCATAAATTAATTAATTAAACAACTTTAACAATTGCAGATTTGACATATGTACAGTATAGCAGTAATACATTACATTGATAATTTGTCAAATCTGCAATTGTTAAACACAATTGCTCCCTTCTTTGCAGACTGTTGTCTTTGAGGGCACTTGACTCTGGCGTGCCCTCGCTCCCCACACAACCAGCATACTATGCCTATACAGTATATTTGAAAATATAAAATTACTCTTCAATTGTCAAATCATCTGGTTTATGACAGGGTAAAATACTCTGGCATTAGACAGAGTAAAATACTAAAATAGGGCTAATCGGGGTGCATTGCCACTTAAATGGTTACCATTTATGTGGAAATACACCCTGATTAGCTCTATTTTGTTTTTTTTATTATTTCTAATAAGGGAGTGCTATCAGTAAATGGGTTAATCTGTTATTGGGTCCTGTTTATTTGAAAGAATTAAGTAAGGCAGCTGACTTATTTCTATCAATGGACATTTTTTGAACAAATAATGTTCTTGCCTTCAATATGTTCACTGTACTCCAAATTGATCCTATTTCGAGCAATTTTTCATCCTGGTGTTGTGTATTAAATGAAACTATGCTGGAAATTGGATTTGTACAGTTTGTCTTTATCCTGGCGAGTGCAACTACTGTATGTAATTATAATATATTGCACAGCTAGGGTTTCAAAGCCATTACATTGTTTAGTGTTATACTGTATATATGCATAATTATAATTGCGCTTATTTCTATTTTCCAGGAACATTGTGAAAGAAATATTCATTTTCCAACATACAATGATTAAAATTTATTGTGAATTTGGTGCATTATTTCTGAATAATATCACATGACTATTATAATACATAGTTTTAGTAAAGTACATACGTGAGCGGCACGCCACAGCATAGTGGCCACGCAGGCCACACTTATAGCAACGTCCTAAATTTAAAGAAAATACAACCAGTTTTAAAGAATATTCATGTAGGTCACAGTACATACTGGAATTGCACTCACATAGATGTTCATAGTTTATATTTTCATACTAAACATGTACCATAATCCCTATTTACAGTGTATGTATATACTATAATTCTAGTTATTTGCTGTTTCAGTGCAATGTACTCAGGTGAATAAAGGCCCATTTATACGGTACGATTAGTTGTATACGATTCTTACTCTGGCGTATGTGATCGAATAAACACGTGTACAAACGTCACATTTGAAATTTCGCCATCAGCGAATGAGCAAAAAAGTGGCATTAGCACTCGTTTTCATTCGTCAGAATGACAATCGTATACACCTAATCGTATCGTGTAAATGGGCTGTAAGATGCTTGAATGTGATGTTACTCTGAGTGTACTGTATATCCACACTCGGCAGGCTTGAAAAATATGCCTGGCCATGAAATATATCATAATATTACCTCTTGTCCGTGCTTGATTTTCTAAGTTAGAAAGATAGAAACAAAAGAAGTTAATATGAATATACCTGACAATGAGGCTCATATAAACTATTGGGGTCAGCCTAATTTTGGGCATGTCTTTTTATTCAGCAATATTTCCAGGAAGTAAACACCTATGAATCCACACAAGATCTATGAAAAAATATTTCCAAATTTAGGTATACAGAAACTGTCAGGAAGTTTGCTTTGAATTTTACATTAACCTACTGTAGGTCCAAGGGTTAAGCTAACTCTGCCTTGAAGAACCCGTCCTAATGATATAAATCTATTTCAAGAACTATATACCTTCACGTTGTCGTCGTTCATTGTTAACTGAAAAGAAAAAATGTTGATTAGACATATATAATTAACGAGGTGCAATTAAACTGTATAACAAACATGCTATTACCACGTGGTTGATGTTGTTGGCGATGAACTGCAAAGAAATAGTATGTTTGTTAGAAAAATTAATTACAGATTTTTATAAAGTATCAGATATAAGTAAATATCAAGAACCATACCATTTTGACTAGACCAAATGTTGATTAGACATATATAATTAAAGAGGTGCAATTAAACTGTATAAAAAAGCATACTATTACCACGTGGTCGATGTTGTTGGCGATGAACTGGAAAGAAATAGTATGCTTGTTAGAACAATTATTACAGATTTTTATAAAGTATCAGATATAAGTAAATATCAAGAACCATACCATTTTGACGTTGTTGCTGATTTACTGAAATCAAATATGTTATTATATTAGTATTAATTATAATTATCATTCTGATTGAACAACACTGGATATGTCACAGTAACAGTATATTCTAAACTTACATGGCTGGACCACCTCTTCAGGTCCTCCAACCTGCTCATCCTCTTCATCTACAGGTACAGTATATGTACAGTTAAATAGAAAAAATGTTGCCAAAGTTCATAAGAAATCTGCGATACACTTAGTCTGCAATATATGTACATAATATTTTTTAATTATCAATCGATTATTATTGGCCTGGATCATGCATGCCAGAAAACATTCACAATTTCACCATGGAGGGAATATTTGAAAGTTAATCCTTTTTTCCCTTTTGGTACATTTTCTTGTCACCTGATTAGTTTGGAATTACACAAGAGAGTTACTATATTGGTTGTTGAAGTTCTCCCAACATTGGCCATACCATTGCAATCTGGATGATGATCCAACCTTGCAAGCCAGGCTCTGTTAGGGAGGGAAGCGTGAATAGAGAGCCTGGCTTGCGAGGTTGATGATGATCCTTATCTACCGAAATGAAATTATAATAACTTGATTTGTTGAAAATAAATGATAGACATATACATGTATATAAAAAACTATACCATTGCCATCCTGCTGTTGCTCATTCACTGAAATGAAATCATGTTTTAAAATTAGTATAAAATACACTATGTTTAAATTATTAATTAATACTAAACTTATCATGTTGTAAACTTACATGGTGCCGCACCCGGAACTTCATCCATCATATCTACAGTTAATTGCAAAAAAACTGTTAACTTCTATGGGAATCTGTAATTATACTAAATATTTTACATGACAATATTTAATTATCAATCGAATAATCATGGGTCATTCCAGAAAATATTTCACAACTCCTTCTTACAAAAAACAATGTAGCTATTACCCTTCGATTTTCTCCAACAAATTAACCCTTTAAATTAAATGGCAATGAGCCCAGATGCACCCTACTTTCTGTTATTAATCTGTCTAATGCCATACAATTTTACTCGTCAGGGAGGGAGTGCTGCCACTTAATGGGTTACCGGTAATCAGACTATTTGCCCATGGACTATGTGTTCACCAAGTGGCAATGCGCCCAGATGTGCCCTACTTTTGAAATTTACTCTGTCTGAGGGCAGGCAATTTTTCTTGCCAGGGAGAGAGTGTTGACACTCTCAGGGATAACCCTTTTCTCTCACAAGAGGTACATTTTTCTCCTTCCCAAACAGAAATTACAAATTTTCTCCATGGTCTTTCAGGCTCAATCAATTTCTGTTCAAAATAAATAAATAATTGAATTTATTTACCATCATCAACCAGTACATCTAAAATAAAAAAAGTTTTGTTAGAAGGTTTATTAAGTTAAAGTTACCATGTCACATACTGTAGATTATATGAAATTACATTCTCAATACCGGTATTAATAGTTTTTATTTAAGTTATATTTCCTTACAGAGTCTCATCTAATGGAATTAAAACACAGTGTTGTAATGAAGGTGTGTTGAAATTTAACCTCTGCTAATTTTTGGTAATTTGGCATACTGTACCAGGTAGATCTGTATTTACAGTATTATGGAAATTTTGGGAAAATTTAGGTCAAAAAGAACTCTTGCGAAAATTTTTTGGAACTTTTGTTTTCAAAAACACAACATCGGAAAATTTTTTTGAAGGGGCCTAAATTTTTTATACACCCCACTCCCCCATCAGATATTAGTTGGCATGGCTCTGAGAACCCGCATAAATATATACATACTGTACATTAGAACCCGCATAAATATATACATACATACCAAGAATATTGTCTTCATTATTTTCCACTAAAATTCACAAGATATATGCATTAGTTGGAAATGATTTACATTAAATACAATGAAGAGTTCTTAAAAATAATACTTTGGTTAAATTAAACAATTCATAAAGCTCTTTGAAATATTTTTCAAACTATACATGTATATTCATATTCATTTAAAAAAGCAGCTTACTTTATTCAACTTACTTGTTTTAAACTTTGTCTTTTGCTGTAAAAGAAAACATGGAAGACCAGTTAGCATTAGTAGCACGCAATAAAATTGCTTCTCCAGAAGGCAAATTGTATTTTATAATATTGAAAACTGTTTTTTAATGCTTAATATAAATGAGCAGGCAACTTATTGTATCATTAAAATACATTAGAGGCTGTTTTAGACTATCTCAGGAGCATACATATACAGTAAATATATTTAAAAATAAAAATATACTCGTACTTTTCTGTTAATATCTTTTAAATTAATCTATAAAAAAAGAAAAAAATGTTTAAAAAAAGATGAAATTGACATAGAAAAACCCACCAAATAAAGTAGTTTCTGCTAAAAACATATATATTCTACAAATAATTGTAGTTTTTTAAATATAGACAAATTTAAAAATAATATATTTTCGGAAAAAAACTTACTGCAACTCCAAATGCTGCGACTGCGAGACCAAAAATCAAATTTTCGCGCGCTTCGTATTTGCATGGAGTACCATTGACGTTGCGTGAGATTTTTTGGTAACCATAGTGATACACACAATATTCACTTAATATAGTAGAGTGAACTGTAGATAGGGATGGAAAAGAAACTTACCTTTTATATAAATTTGCTTCAGTATCTAGACTTTTAATAAAGATATCAAATATTAATATTTACAAAGTTTTAAATGTTATACTGTAGTATATGTGATATTATTGTTATACTGTGTATATGTCATAAGACATAATGTCATTAGAGCCAACCTCAGAAACATAATATAAATATTATGTCTAGGTAACAGGCAATGACAAACTCCCTGAATGCCTTCCTCAAAAACACAATAATAGAGGCATAGATATTTACTTTTGTACATGGTATGCAGGACTGCACAGAGAAATTTGGGGGCCTGGAGCAAATTTAAATTTGGTCCATATTTTTTCAAAAAAATGTTGGCAAGTGGGGGGGGGGGGGCTCAAGCATATCCAAAAGAAGATTCCAATTTAAAAAAAAAAAATCCAGACTAATACAAGTGAAATTAATTAGGTTCACATATAAAACATGCTCCAAATAATTTTTTAAAATGACACCTTTTGGACCCCCCCCCCTTGATCTGCCCCATTTGCAACCTCCCCTTCTAAGCAGCCCTGATGGTGTGATTTGAAACTTGTGTACTACACCTCTAAAATTGTGCCTAGTAACAGGCGAAATAACCTCGAAAGCACGGTATATGTGCCCAGTATACTGGTGCTCAAACACCACAACTATTGAATGACAATTCATGACGTACTTGTACTATATGTTTGGACAGTTTTCTCTGCAAGCACTTTAAGTCGCTGTTCAGCTTCGAGTCGTTTTTGCATATTTTTACTCCTACCAATTGCTTTCAGGCGATCAAATGTCATAGGTTCAAACACAATATCATGAATCGATCTTACCCGTGATGTAGCTACAAATGTGCATCCAGCAACTTTTTCTCCTTTACCTAAATCAACAACAGCTTTTGTTAGTGTCTGTCCTTGTGACTTATGAATAGTCATTGCATACCTTAACCGCAAGGGCACTTGTTGCCTTGACAAGTACTTTCCATCAGCCACCCATTCAAACACTTTCGGTGGCACAGGTATACATTTAGAACATGCATCTAGGAATGCAGGACCAGAGTAACTATGGAAGTGTACCAATACTGCTATTGGCAGGTTTGGTGGACCCATATTCTCTGCAAACCAAATCTGCTCGATAGTGCCAAATGAGCCATTGCAGACCAACTTCAGCATTGAGACCAACTTCAGCCCACAGGTTGCAAGTGAGCATTACTTCTGCTTTTGTGGATAAAAACAGAACAGCGTCCAATCCACCAGCTTCGTCCGACGTGGCCGCACTGGCACCATGACCAGAATGCTTTGCCTGAATTTTAGCAACAGGTTGTCCAAGCTGCAATAGCTTCTCGTAATTGTATTCAGCAACACTTTTCTTGTCAAAGTACAATCGGATGGCATCAGTGAATTGGTCCATTGGTACATTTGTTGTTGAATGCTCCAACAATAGTTTCCAGTCCTCCCCTGTCACTTCGCCATTTCGCATTCTCATCAGCAAGACTCTAAAAGCAATTGCTTCGGGGTCCTCACCAGCCTGACGCATAACTTGATCTAAAATAATGACAGACTCAAACATCAGATACAGACTATGTCCATGGTCACTTACTACTGTTCCGTTACCTGAAACATACATTGGCTTATCACCAACAGGTGGTAATTGACCAAAATCCCCCATTAGAATTACTGACATACCACCAAAAGGGATATCTTGCTTTCCAGTACCAGCACGTAATCTATTGTCCAGCCATGATAGCATTTTATGTCCAATCATTGACATTTCATCAATAATCAGAAATCTTTTACCTTCTAGCCTTAGCTGTAACCGCTGTAGTGAGTCACCCTGCAAATCCCTATATTCATGGATAGGAAGTTGAGCAGCAGAATGTAATGTTTGACCATTAATACTAAAGGCTGCAATCCCAGTAGTTGCTGTAACAACACACTGAGTGGCTAATACTTGTTTTGTTGCACTTATCAAGTATGTCTTACCTGTGCCAGCTGTTCCACACACAATCATATATACAGGCTCGGCATTATCACCATTCTGAGATGTGATGATGTTGTAAGCAAGGCGTTGTTTTTCATTCAGGGTGTCCGGATCAATTACACATTGTTGATCATCTTCTCGAAATTGCTGACCATGTTCTTCAGCCTCCTTTCTCTGACTATAGATCCATCCTGGAGATTCCCTTAACAAATCTCTAGGCACAGCTCTCACAGTTTCAAACCAATCCACTGCTTCATTGTCTGGCATCTGATTACCTGCTTCACCATAATCTTGGTTAATTCTGCATAACAACATCCAATCATCGACTTCCTCCTCCTCATCAGGGTCAACTTCACTTTCATCGTCATCATCTTGATTGTCACTTGGATCGTTTTCAAAGGTTTGACCACATTGTGCATCATGAACTTTGTCTCTTTCATCGGAATACCTAAACACATTTTCTTCCGCAAATTCATCTGTCATAAGAAAAAATTCATATGCATTAATAAACATTTGATCACTTTCATCCTCATTGTTCCAAGCATTTGACGGTTGACCCTCCCATGGTTTAAACTTTATTAGTTGATATTTGCAGTATTTTCCAAAATCAGGACCAGCAGGATTAGCGGAAATCTTTGGAAATGTCCTGACAATGTACGGATTCGCTCGTTTTGTCAACTCACCTCTGACTTTCGTGTACTGTGACACATATTGCATCAGATTTAGCTGAGACAAGCCTGTATACCTACTCTTCAATTTTGTACGTTCTGCATATTCTTGTAGCTGAGATTTTTTAAGTACCTCATCGCCTTCATTTTCTGCATCAATATTAACCTTCCTGCTGTTATCTAAAGAAATAGTAACAAAACTAAATGTGCAGCCAACCAGTGGTAGACTAAGTAACATATGCACAGTTTCTTGTGCTGCCATATCTCTATCCCCAGCAACTTGGATCATTGCTTTCTTGAAGGCCGAAGAGACTTGATCATCATTCTGTAATGAGGACACAGACAATTTTAGTATTTCTGACGCCGATTTCGATCGGGGTTCTCCTTTCGCAGCATACTTAGCCATGTATCTTGCACAAGCCTTCTCATCTACAATGACTTGCAAATCTACATTTGCCCACCAGTTTTCGAGCATCACCCTGTTGTGTGAATTTAACCTTTGGTCATTTCGCTTGGTATGTAACTCAGACTCAACAGACTTAGTATTCTTACTTACCACCAACTCACGACTCAGTTCTGTTTCTTCTTGTAATGGCTTTGGAAAACCAAATCTGCATTCTGCAAGCAGGTCCACTCTTTTCTGTTTCAAACAATACGCTGGACTGCATCTAGTGTGTCTTTCTACAGTATTAACTAACCTGTGATAATCATTGTCACGATTATCCACTGTTGTAGCCCTAACAGCAGATGGGTGAGGATCTGGTACACTCCAGTTCTCATCAGGCAATTCCTCATTAAAAGTTGTCACCAGCCAGTCAACATACCTTTAAAATAATCATAACTTATTATTATATGTGCATGCTCGTTCTATTAGCCAAATATTACCAAATTAGTCATAAAACAGTTTTAATTACACCATTGACTGAGTGAAATATTTTCCTGTGAAACCTGTATCACCAACAGCTAAATTTCCACTTTCTATTTATGTAATTTCTTACATTCCAATAAATTTCTTACATACAAATAAATAAATTGAAAATTCCTTTCAGGAAAATTGAAACCTTTTAAGGAATTTTATAAGGAATTTTGTTTACACGTAAAATATTGTTACTTTTTCAATTTTAATGTAGCAATTAAAGTTAATACTACCGTATCATAATATATTAAATATGCATAATAATAATAATAAAAAATATGAGCGAAAGACCTTTCAAAATTGTGGAGATTGGCTATCTGCATATATTATTAGCTGGGTATTTGGTGAGTGTTATTATATTTAGTGTATTAAGGCAGATTTAAATAGACTACACAACTTTTGCCTTATGCAACCTGCTTGTACCACAAGTTCACACTGTATTAAATTCGCTTACGTTGTCATAGCCATAGTTGTGTGCTTGGTTTACCCAGGTTGTTTACTCAAGTTGTATACACATATATATAAGCAGGTTGTATGCGACAATTTTAGGCAAAAGTTGTGCACAGAAGTTTATCCTGCCTTTATAAAGTATTTACAGTAGTAGTCATATTATTAAATAATTTTATCCAAAATAGGCAGTAGTGGTAATACAATGCACAATACAAAATTCGCTTTTTAGTTGACATGAATATTTGACTTGCACACTTTTGGGAGCATGCCTTTTATAGTTTTCATGGTACTGTATTTTGAAATGCTATTGCAATACTGTAAATTCAGTAGCAGGTACAGTAAGAGATATCTAAAAATGCAAAATTCAATGTTATGACTATTTAAATTCAATGTTATGACTAATAATTCGGATCCGGTATTGTGCATTTAACTTACAATGCCGGCACATGCATTTGAAGACCTGTTGCCAGGATAAATTTATAATATTATTGAAACAATTATCCCACAACAGATTCTGCACAGTTACCTTGGTCTACAGTACACATATATGGAAATGTTAATATGGAAAATATTTTTTCTTACTGTATTAGCAACTTCTCAGCATCTTCTCCTTGTCTTATCAAATCCCCACAAAGGAATTCAAAGTCATCAGGTGACATTTCGTACTTTGTTGTCTCACTCTCTAGGAATGCAACACATGCCTTAGTACGTAATTTTCTAATATCAGGGTCGTTTTTTAACTTTGCACATCCGTGGCAATGAATACTTCCCCTAGCTTGGTACTCAAATCGATACCAGTGCCACTCAGCATCCAATATGCCATTAAGCCAATGTCTGACAAACTCCTGCAACCGCTGCATAAAAAACCAATCAGTTAGGTGGGGATTGTCGATTACAGCTTGTGCTCGCTCAGATCTGCTTGCACCTTCATCATTCTGCAACAGCCTCTGTAAGTCTGGCCAATGCATGTCAGCTGCACTAAAGGTAAAGAAAAATGTAGGGCAGCCTTTTTGTTCAATCAGGGCTAGCAATTCCTGCAGCCGCTGATACCAATACTGATTCGTACCTTGTACTTTGGACACATAGCGTTGCAACCTATTCATCATTTGGTTTGCACTCATGGAATTTACCATCTGCTTCAGTTCTTCCATTGTCATGTTTGCATCAGCAGGATGTTGACGCAAGTAAACATTTGCTTGTGACAACAGCTGATGCCGTTGTTTCATATTTAACGCCCAATAAGGAAACCGTGGGTGAGAAGCAAACCTCCATTCAAACTTACCATCTGCAAGCCTCTCTGCAAACTTCATTAAATGTTTGAAAGCTTCAGTTAACGTTATACCATGTTGCCGTGACCTATTTGTAGGGTCACCCTTCCCATAAGGAAACAATGTAGGAAAGGCCATAGTAGCTAAACCATCTGTTTTAAATTCATTAACGAGATTACCTTCAGTAGATGGCCAATCTAATGGATCAACCTCATTCACTGCATCTTGGATAGCTGCACCTTCTTTTCTCTGTCTTTGACGCATAGGAATAAACGATGTACTGCCACTTCCTAAAACTAACTCTTCCACACTTGCATTAGCACTCATTACTGGGTCTTGGGGAGGCCCCTCATTTTCAACATGAACCGAAAGCTCATTTTCATCAATGACATACCTTAGCTAATCGGGAATACCATTTTATGGTAAACTTTGGATGACATCTCTATCAATTTCGATATCTTTAAAGAACGGATTGTTTGTCTTTAACCATAACACAGCCTCGAGAACTTTGTGTCGACGCACAGTAAAGTCTCGATGTGTGTCTTCTGCACCATGTCTTCGCACAATCAAGACAGGCAAGTCTGCCACACGTGAAGGCAACCTATTCAAGAAACTTTGAATATCTTGTGGTAAGTTAAGTACATGTCCTTTATACCCCCTCTGACCCCCATGTTTTCTATACACTCTCATAATGGGACAAACCCTTGAAATTAACATTTCTTCTACCTGTGTCAAACCTCTCAATTGTTCAGGAACTGTTCCTGGGTCCATGTCATTCTCGGCACTGAATTTCTTGGGTGATTTCTTGTCTCTCTTGCACCGGTAACAAATGTATACTTCTGATCCCAAGTTCTGGCGTGTCGGCCAAGCTTCTTTACACATTGTACATTGTCGATGCTCTAAATGTTCTTGATCTAAATGAAAACTGTGCATTTCATTTTGTACAAACTCTAGCTCATGCAGAGGGTTGTCAACATTTTGGCAACCACCCTCGTGTAAATATTCATTTCTACTTACCCCCTCTGGCTCTGCTTCATGAACAGACCCAGTTTTCTCGTCTACTTCAGAAACAGAATGAGATATATCTACACTAACTGTTGGATCTACAGACATACTCAACTGCTCATTTGCTTCATCTCTTTCTTTTCTCTCCTCAGCAAGTCTATCTTTCCGTTCTTGGTCATTTTCACTTGCAATTGATGTGTTGAAAGTTGCTCGCAAAATTTTAAGTATTTTTGCACGCTCATCAACTGTTTTGGATGCTCGGTCTTCTTTTCTCCTTTGTGGCCTATTTGTTCGTTCGTCTTCAGTCATATTTTGCATTTTATCATAATAATACTGTCTATCATACTCTTTTTGCTTACCTTTAGCTTCTGCAGTCCTTTCTTGCCATGTTTCCCTTCGTTTTGCCAACAGAGTTTCAATATTCTCGGCACTTTCTGTAGCTTCTTTCTGTCGCCTATAATAAATTTTCTGATACTCCTTTTGCTTACCTTTCGCTTCTGCCGTCCTTTTTGCCACGCTTCTCCTCGTTTTGCCAAACGAGTTTCTCTTTCCTCGGCAGTCTCCTCGAGCATACGCTGTCGCCTTCGCTCCCTTCGTTTCGCTAATCTTTCGGCTTTCTTGTCCTTTAATTGTCGCCCTTCGTTTGGCTCCATACGTCTCAATTGCTATTTGATATTATTCTTTTGTTAAATTGCTTTTAAAGTTGTCAAAAGTTTTTGCAAACATACAAAATACTGTAAATGCAAAAAGAAAATATTTTCATAAAGTGTCGGTTAGTTGAAGTCGTCAGTTCATCTCACAACAACAAATTTTAAATTTGACCAATCAGTGTTCGCTATTCACGACAGTCCGCTATAATTTGAGATCAGTGAGGATGACCACCCATGAACGGTTAGCCATGCGCCCGCGATATTTGATGAACTTTAGACTTCGCTAATGCTTTCGTTTCCCCGGGTGTAAATAGCCGGGGGGAATTAGTACCCTCGCACGGCGCTTCGCGCCGCCGGCTCGGGGAATATATACTGTTTGTGTAAATATAGTTACATATCCAAATTATTTTATTGCATTGATTTCATACATTGAGGTAATTATAAAATGGATCTCTTTAAACTTTTTATAGTTAAAATGTTGTAAATGATACATTTTGTGGAGATCAACTTTAGTCGACAGAGCCAGAATGTTAAAGTTATATGTTCAACTACAGTAAACTATGATTGTTTGTTCTATAATTAATCAAATGAAATGACTATAGTTGGCCAGCAGCCACATGATACTTCTTCTATATCATATAAAGCCAGTAAACTATTTTTTTACTGCAACTACAATCTTGGCTATAAACTGTAGGACGACGATAAATTTTTATGCATTTTCAAGGCCTCCCCCCATTCAATGTTGCCGTTTCATGTATATTTATGATCTTACATACTGTACAGACAAAATTGTATGTGTACTAGAAATGTGGGCGAGCAACATTGAATGGGGGAAGTGTAATATGATTTTAAAACCCAAGTATATTAAAAAGTAGTGAATTTGTTTTATTGTACGTTCTACAAACGTTTGGCCAAAATTGACTAGGTCACCACAAAAGGTCTAGATTTAGCATCAGGGTTAGGCCTAGCATTGGCTGTTTTGTCCAGACCCCAAATGGGTGCAAAAATAGAAGGAAGAGCAGGGGACAGTTATTCAAAGCTGGGTTAGTGCTAACCCTGGGTTAAAATTTAACCTGTTATTTTAGTTTGGGTACATTTGCACTCTTGTGATGCATTTCTTGCTTTTATATTTATTTGGTTAATAAAACATTTCCACTTGATTGAAAACTTTATTAAAGAATTCTTCAGATTTGGTAGCAATTCTTTGTCAAAACTTGGATCAGATTTTGGATCTGATTTTAAACATTAGCCAAATTTCGTGTTGTAAACGTTTGATCCGATGCCCACCTCTACTGCATGTCATGTGCTTCCCTTGCTTTTGTAAAGTTTAACCATGTCTTTTTGTATCTGTGAAGCAGATATATATGCTATCGCAAACATGCTGTTAATGTTACTGTTACTGTATGTTAACACATAGCCATTCAGCGACGAGCTTATATAATTTAAGCCAATCAGCAATCAGTTTACATCAATTGTTTATGTAGTTTGGCCTCGTGTTATTCTTTGCCATTTTCACATTTTGGCTTCTAGAATATCTTGATTTTGTCTTGTTTTCACATGCCATTCTACTTGCGATATTATTCGGAAGTTATCTATCAACATGGTAACTTATCCTCATCTGGTAAGTAGTCAAATACCACATATTTATTATTTTATTAGAATTTTCGCTTACCTCAAAATTCTGCAACAGTCTGTTTCATCAGAAAAGAATCCTCAGGCGGTATGACAAGTTTCGAAAAACAGGGCTGCTAATGTGTGTTTTTACAGAAATGTGGGGGGGGGGGGTGTGGGTGAAACAAAGCATGCATTCAAACTATTGTTTGCATTGTTTACATGGAAATACCTAAGTGGATTGTGGGAATGTATTGTTTACGTTGATATAATTTCCATTCTTTTGTTGAGTAAACAATTTTGGTTTTCTTCCAAAACACAAAATTTTTCCTGTAAACATAAATTACATTGTTTTGATCCTCCCGTATATGAAATAGCACGTTTCAAAATTTGCCAATTGATATTAAATCTTTTTTGTTATCTTTCAATGTCCAAATATATTTCGAAAGTTCAGTTTTGTTTGAGTGCTCTTCATGCTCGAAAGTATAGTTGTGGTTAGCCAAACACTCTTTAAATGTAGTTGATGTCATGCCAATGTAATTCATGATCGTGTTAGGGTTGCTTGTTGTGACTGTTGCTTTGTATACTATATCCTTAGTCATGCATTGTTTCTGAAGTGTTTATAATAGTTTATTATATATTTATACAATAAAACAATCATTGTGTTGTGTAATATATTTTTGAACAGTCAAAACATAGCAGAGCAATATATTTGTCAATGAACAATGTCACAGGAAACTAATATTCTCAGGAGATATTGAATTAAATCCTGGTCCATTCCTGTATATCTGTATTAATTAAGCTCTGTTCGATGTTATCAGTTAAAATACCTATACATTTTGGTTTTACACATTAGAGTTTATAATAATTAAACAAAATTTTTAAAAACATTTTCAAATGCTAATAAAAGAATCCCCAGCCACCTGCCTCATTAAATGTTATTGTTTAGAGGTTAATGCAAGAATGATAAATAAATGTGTTGGATATTGGCTAGATAATTTTGTCAGAACAACCCACTTGCAAGGCAATCTTACCTAAATTCATCAGTATGGATAATAACTTAACAGCTACAATCATCACACATTATATGATGGATGGATCAGATCAATGCCACAAAATATGTACAAAACTAAGCTTGTGATACCTTCTACTCAAACCGATATTCTCTCACAACACAAATTGTTTTTGTGTGAATATGCTGTGTTAAATCGAACAATGTGGTATATCATTAACTGTGCACAGGATTGGAATAGAATTATATAAATTCACTGGATTGACAAGTGACAGTTTACTAAACAGACACTTCGAATATTGTTTGCATGAAATTTTTATTTTTGACTGCATAATTATCCAAGAGTTGCACCTGCTGCCCTCTATGCTGTCTACAGCCTTGTTAGATTTGTACTATGTTTGACTTTAAAATCTTATTTACTATTATATTTATTAATCAGATGAAAATGTGAATCAAGTTTTTTTGCAGATACATGTACGCGTCACGTACCTATATTTTTAAAGTAATTAATTGCTAATTGTTATTTTCATTTAAAACTAGCAATGCACCCAAATGTGCCTGTTTTAGTATTTACTCTGCTAATGCCAGACGATTTTACTCATCAGTGGTACACTGCCAGTAAATGGGTTAAAGTTGGGTAATTGGATTGGATTACAATTGTTAAAACAGGATGAACCAAGGTATGTTGCACTTGTTAAGCCAGTAATGTTTGACATGTGAATTTGAAAGATGGCTTTATTAACATATCAACTAAAGATGCATGGTTATGTGTCACATGCTTGTCATACTGTTCTGTTCATATTTGTAGGAAACCTTCAGGCCTGCATATGGAAAATTGTACATACTGGGAGGTATCTTTGCAAATGTACCCTTTATAGCTCGAACAGCTACAATAAAGAGGGAAACTATGATAATTGAATCATTGCAGTTAACAAATGTTAAGTTATTCGAAGTCCATTCAGATCGTGAGAACATATTTTATGATTTGGAACAGACCATCTCGTGGAAATGTTACACTCTATCCCATTCTTAAACCTGTTGCAAAATATGTAAAGCTAGCTAAAACTTCAGATGGAATTAACAATTACTTATGGCACACTGCAAACATATGCAAACTGCTTTTTGTATTTTAGTCAGGCTCTGAAAAACATCAATATTTCCCTGAATGATCAGAGCTGATTTCAAAGAATCAGCTTTTTGTATCATGCTGAATGCCCAGATCATGCATGAAAAGGATAGGATTATTGAAGAAATTTATGCTCAAGGTGTTTGTACTACAAGAGTTATTTTTGTTACAATTTCCGTTGGGATGAAAATAGACATTCATGACATTCATCATGCAGATCCAACTGAGCTAACAACATGTTCTATTACATGAGAAATTCTTGGCGTGATCAATGTCCATGTTGATTATTGTTGTGGAAGGTGTAACACCAATGTTAAGGAAGAGGAAACAACAATATGCAAAATCTGCAACATAGCATTAAAGCTGAGGAAGTGTAAAAAGCAGTGGTATGTAATTTGGCAATTCAGGATGATCAGGAGCCATACTTGGTATTTCGCCATGATTCTGTCCTTAAAGTTTTGTTGCTGTCAGAAGCAGGAGACCCATTAGAGTTATCAAAGGATTTTATCACACACAGAAAAGCTAGGTTCTTTCCCTAGAAAGTTGCAAATTCACCTACAATAACAAGACAAAGTTGTGCAAGGTGTGGACCTTGCATAGATTATTATGTTTAAAAAACTGAATTGCAGTATTATGCTGCAAGACTTTTATCAGTTGCATTCATGTCTTGTTGAATAAGAGGCTCAATAATAGTCTCAGTAAGCGTTTTTGTTCTGTTGCTCAGTAAGAGTTTTCGTTCATTTCAATAATTCAGATACTGTGATATGTAACAGAATTGCAAAATTTACCAGATTCTGTAAATGTGGATTCATAAACTGTTGTTTTATTAAAAATATTAAAGATGGGAATTGTAGATTGTGTATATTTAAAAACACTTTTAAAAAGTTAAGTATCTGTATTTGGAATGTTTTCTTTAGCTGATATCAAATAAGCCAAAAATAAAATTAAAGTTTGAGATTTATTGAAATCTACTGCTGAAGAAAATTATTTAAATAAATAACAAGTTTTCCTAATCTGTTCATTTATTGGCTTTGTAAATTAGTGGATGATGATGCATAAAAACAGAGGTTTTCCCCAAATCTTGGTGATGTTGTTGAATTAAATTTTATCCTCTCTTGTAAATTATAAAGCAACAAGGATCCAGCCAGATTACCATGTTATATTGCACAAACTATTATCTTTATTTTTTTAGGGACATGCTTTGTACATTATTTTTTAAAGGACTTGCTTTCAAATCTATTCAGTGTGTGGACCAATTATTCGTTCATCCCCGTATATACTTCCATATTATATAAAGTGAATTGTATGTTGTAAGCTCACCTTCCTTCAGAAAAGTATTGAGAGTTGTTTGAAATCCGTAACAGATGAGACCTTTAAGCCTGCCGCACACAAGCGCACTTGTCACACATACTTGTTATTTGTGACAAGTTGGATCGAAAAAAATTTCCTCATGTGCAGGCAACATTCACAGCATTTTTGTCATTCGTAGACATGTAAACCAAATATCAAACATCTTGTGTGCGGTGAGCAAATGACAAGTGTGCCTGAATAGGAAAATATGTGCATGCGTGCAACTTGCAGAATTAAAAACAACATGGTGGATCAAAACATAGATCAAAATCACGAAGATGATTCTGAAGACAAAAAAGGATTACTTTTAGTCCTTAAGCTGCAAAGACGTTGCAGGTGCTTGAGGGCAGCCCGTCGTCAACAATGGACTAAACGGTGGTTGCAAAGAAGACAGACACAACGTGTCTGTGATCATTTATTATGAGAACTGGAAGCAGAGGGTCCAGAAAAATTCCACAGGATGGACAGGGGCTCATTTGAAGATATTTCAGGTACTGTTTCACCATACATTGTAAAACAGGATACTAATGTGCGATCCGTGTTAAAACTTCGCGAACGATTGGCAGTGAAATTGCATTTCTTGCAAAAGGTACCATAATCGTATGCATATTTAGTCATATTTTATTTAATCGTACAGGTTTAGTGCACCAGCACAAGAAATTACAGGAACCACTGAGTATTTTAATGAGATATAAAACAACGGTAACTCCGAAAATAAACATTTTGATATTCTAGCTTTCTTAGTCGAAAGCTAGAATATCAAAATTTTTATTTTCAGAGTTACCATTGTTTTATATTACACAAGCACAACTTATATGTGTTTGTAATTGTATAAATTATTTTTCCAGCCTAGGGGAAACGTTTCCCAGCCTTTCATTTCAGTTTAGAATGGGAGAATGTACTATATCTAACATCATTGAAGAAACCTGCTGTCACGGGCGGCTAACACCGTGATTTATAATTCGATTGAAAAACACTGTAAATGCTTTATAATTTACATTTTAATATTGAAATATCTCATACAAATCGATAAAACTACATAACTCAACAAAAACGTTCACTGTTTGTCTTTCGACCTGTGCTTCCACTTTCGATCAGTGCTTCCACTTTTCCATCAACGTCACTTCCAATAAACCTAATTGGCTAACATAACATAACAAGAATACGTCATACTAAATTAACATTGTTTATACGCATCCGGACGGGACATTGCCGGCCCCGTATTCGTCCTCGATTTCCAGGACATATACAACTTTAAACATCAGCGGCTTCTTCAAGAAGTGCAAGTTTTCCAACCGGCCGAACAAGTGTTTGAACTTCAGCTGCTCGGACTACATCTAAATCTCCAACGATAGGCTTTGTGACACAACCCAACAACCATGCTCCATGCGGAGCATCCTTATCGACCATGAGGACAAGATGTACTGTGTATTCCACTTCCGTCGCTCTAGAAGGTTCGGGACATACTCCTTTAGCCACCGTTTCCACACGTGATCCACAATAACCTGCGCCTGACGCCATCGTTTCTGACTAGCAATCTCTTTGTCCAGAAACACGTCGCGGGGGGGGGGGGAGTAAGTTTGGGTTAGATCTTCCCAAAAGGAAATGATTGGGAGTCAGCACCTCCTTATCCGAAAGGTGCGTGCTAACATGAGTAAGTGGCCGACCGTTTAACAAGCTTTCCACCTCCGTCATAACCGTCAACAACACTTCGTCCGTCAGAGTCTGGTTTCCTATGACAGCTTTGATAGCTCTTTTCCATGACTGAACTAAATGTTCCCAAACTCCTCCGAAATGTGGGGAAACAGGTGGGTTAAAGTGCCACTGAATACCTTGCTGCAGCAATTCGTCGTTAATCTTCGATTGGTTCCGGTTGTGCAAACAATCCCGAAGTTCCCTGTCCGCACCAACAAAGTTGGTACCATTGTCGGAATGGATACGCACAGGTTTTCCTCTTCGAGCGATCATTCGTCTCATAGCCATAATGTAAGAATCGGTTTCTAAACTGTGAGCGACTTCTATGTGTAGAGCGGGTGTGACCATACATGTAAACAAGCAGCCATACCTCTTTTCAGGCTTTCGAGAGCGCTTGACTTGCATTGGTCCGAAGTAGTCAACTCCAACATATGAAAATGAGCTAATCTCTTTTCCAACGTAAAGAGTTGCTTCTCGGCCACAACGCAGTCGATTATTGGGCAGTGTAATATCGTCCTCCTTCCACAAGAGAGCAGTTTCGTAGCAATCTCCAGTATGTTTAGTGGTCGATTCAAGGATTTCAAGGGCTTTCTTGTCTTCGACAGATCGAGATGTTTCTTCCGCATATTTACATCCGAATGACTCGGTCTTCCACCACAGCTGGACTTGATGAGAGGTGTTCTTCAGGAGTTGTGATATGGACTTTCATGGGAGTGACCATATTGATGTCACTACTCCCTGGGAGATGAGAAGTTGCAGTCCAACTGAGAGCAGTGCGTACCACTCTAGGAGTTCCCTTTGGACCGGTTCTTATTTCCTGAGGCACAATCAAGTCAAAGACATCAGCGCCCAGCAAAACCGTGATATCAACATCCTTTACTGGAGGCAGTGGAAAGTCTGCTAAGTGAGGCCAACGATTCTTCTCCTTCAACATGTCAATGCTTATCTTCGGAAGGTTCAGCCTTTCTACCATCCTAGCTTGTGCAACAGTAAAGGGATTGGTGGAATTAGCCACAGAACTAACACCAAAGTCAACAATCCTTCATGCAATACAACTACGCTGCTGAACCCCATTTAAGATCATTTGCTCAGTGGGTCCAGTCAGTCCAACTTTATCGGCAACACTAGCTTGAATAAGCGTGCACGTACTACCCATGTCCAACATAGCATAAGTTCTGTGAAGGCCCGCCAGCCCATGAATGGTCACCGGGAGAACTTGAAGTAGGACTTGGGATGCTTGCTGAGATGTGAGTCCGCATGCTGTTCGGAGCCCAGTACTGGTTTGATAAACACACTTCACGTTGTGCATCAAAGGATGATGCCTTTTCTTGCAGCCACCGGTGTTGCATTCCTTTGGGGTGGGGCAATCTCGGGCGCGGTGACCGGGGGAAAGGCAACAAAAACACAGTTTTGTCTTTTTCATCTTCTCAGCTCTACCGTCAGGATTCAATGCAATAAACTGTGGGCATCGGGAAGTGGGATGATTACCATCCCCTAATGCACAGGGGGTGGGTGTTCCCGCATCTGGATGTGCCGACAAGGCGTTAAACTGGCTATTTAGGTTATTCACAGGGCCATTACCATGCTGCGATCCATTCCATTTCCCTGGGGGCTTGTATTTCGGTTTGCCTCTCGTTGGCAACAGTTCGTGTGCCTCCACTTGTTCTTGTAAACATTTGGCAAGGACCGTGAGGGTTGGGCGAGAGACTTTATTGTGAAGTAGATGTTCGTTCCACTTCAATATCATTGATGTTGGCAATTTCTCAACTGCCGTCTTAACATTGCTCGCTGCCTTCAAGTCATCATCATAGCCGAGATCTTCAAATGTCCAAACTATGGTGTTAATTGCTCGAGAATAGTTCGAAATCGAGTTTGTATCATTCTCTGAAACTGGGGACATTTTGGTCAAGTTGTTCAAATGGGCTTGAACAACAACATGGGGCTTGCCAAATCGATTTTCAAGACACCGCAGTGCTTCGTGGTTGGTTGCCATTATATCGAAAACCGGCAATAGCAGATTTGGTCTATCCTGTAACACTTTGTTGGAGGTCGGTCATTTTCTCAAATGAGGTAATATTTGAACGATGGATAATAGCATAAAACATCCCTACCCAATCTGTCCACTTCAGGGAGTCACCGTCAAACTTTGTAAGTGTTAACTTTGGGACCGACTTCATGATCACCTTTCTCGTTCGACATATTTCTCGATATTTCTCACTTCTTTCGGGCTGTGTTTCATCGCAGATTCATATCCGGCTCGCTAAGGACCAATGTCACAGGCGGCTAATGCCGTGATTTATAATTCGATCGAAAAACACTGAATATGCTTTATAATTTACATTTTAATATTGAAATATCTTGTACAAATTGATAATACTACGTAACTCGACAAAAACGTTCACTGTTTGTCTTTCGACCTGTGCTTCCACTTTTGATCAGTGCTTCCACTTTTCCGTCAATGTCACTTCCAATAAACCTAATTGGCTAACATAACAAGCATACATTATACTAAATTAACGTTGTTTACACGCGTCTGGACGGGACACCTGCCAGGCATTGTATGTCATGAAAAAAGAAACATACATGAAGAGAAGGAATTAAATTTAGAACATTTTAATTTTAACATAATAAATAAAGGTATTATATAAAATTAAACCTTTATAATAAATAGTAAGTTAATTATTTTTAATAGTTAACAATACTCATTATTAATCACTACATACTAACGAAACAAAACGACTTTAAATTCCCATGTACACACTACAAATAGTTATTACAGTATGATGTTATTGGGAATTGCAAAAAATTACTGTTAGTTTTCAAAAGAACCCCCTTGCATGGGATTTGAATTAAACCACATAGCATGGTCTTGACCATAATTTGAATCTGTTGCCATGGGTAATTGGTTTGGTGTGGACAACATATTTCCTGTAGCTTGAGCATTGGGATTGAATGCACTTTTCATTTCATTACTAAAAGGTAACATATTGTATTGTGGATACACTGGAGGAAAGGCTTGGTGTTGGGCAGGTATTGGTGCTCTGGTTCCCATGCTATGATTTTTGGTTAATTCTCCTGTTTGAGGTTGGAACAAGCTGTTATTGATATATTGTGCCAAGTACTTTACATTTGTGTCAAGTTTGGACAAAGTTTGTATGATGTAATGTCCAAAGGCATCATCTGGGCCTGCAGATTGGTTTTCTGAAGTCCGCCTTTTATTTCTTTTTTCTGCATTAGACTCTGTTAAACCTTTAATGAGTTTGAACTCCTCATCTGTTTGTCGTTTTTGGTTGGGTTTGATTTTTATTGGCTCTTTAGTGGTTTTTGTAATGCTTTGGCCATCTCCTTTGTCAAAAATGGAGCTTGGTGTTTCTGAACTAGTAAGGGAAACACAATCATCATCACCATCATCAAGATTTTTGTCATCTTGTTGATCAATTATACTGGTGTCTGATGGTGAATCACAATTTCCCTAAAGAGAAAACCAAAAATTGTAATTATTGTAGTAATTAACTGATCAAAATTACAATGCTAATCATGTTTTTACATTTAAAGGTTCCAGCTTGTGTGGATGAATGGGTAGCAGTTACTGACCAATTTGAAAAGAAATGGAATTATCCTGGCTGTGTTGGGGCTATAGATGGAAAACATGTTGCTATACAACAGCCAGTCAGTAGTGGATCAGAGTTTTTAATGATAAGCACTTTTTTAGTGTTTTGCTTTTAGCACTAGTAGATGTAGACTACAAGTTTCTTTATGTGAATGTTGGTGCAGCAGGCAGAGCAGGGGATGCTGGAGCATTTAATGACTTAAGCTTAAAAAAAGCTGTTGTTGAAAACACTCTCAACGTAATGCCACCACCAGTTGAAATTAGAGGAATTTCATAAAAAAATAAACTACCACATGATCAGGGACAATGCATTTGCATTAAGCAAAACTATGATGAGGGCATATACCCTCATAGAAATTTGAACAAAGAAAAAAGAATTTTCACCAACAGATTGTCGCATGCCAGACGTGTTGTTGAAAATGCCTTTAGGATTCTTGCAAGCAGATGGCGGGTGTTTTTAACCACTAAAAAGGTGTGTCCAGACAAAGTGAGATGTCTGATTCTAGCAGCTTGTTGTTTACATAATTATATGGTGGAAAAAACAAATCAAGTTATGTAGTAGCAGCAGATGTAGAAGATGGAGATCATGTGGTAATACCTGGGTCGTGGAGAAATGAGGCATGCTTGACAAGAATGAATCAATTCAGCACAACACGTAACCCTTCACATAGTGCTAAAAAGCAGCGAGAGATTCTGACCACTTATTTTAACTCCCATGGGGCTGTACCATGGCAAGATAGTATGGTTTAACAAATACTGTTAATATTACTTTATTAAATGTAAATTGGATGTGACTTTAGTTATACCTACATGAATGACTTCAACAATTAGTATTTGTTAAATCTCAAGCATAAAAAGTATTGTGTAAAACATATTGTGGGCGCGGTAGCCAGAAAATAAAATATTAAAATTAGACTTACAGATTCCATATTTGAAATTGGAGCTCTAGTTGCAATGAAGGGAGAGAGGAATTGTAACTTCTCAAGTAACCAACTAGCTCACTTTGTAGGTTTTTCCCCGAGCGCTCCCACTCGAAGGAGGCTTTTTTCCCCTTTGTGTATGCATTCCTTACAGATTTTATTTTGCTCTGACCCATGCAACTACAATTGTAAAAAAATTACATAAATTGCATTGCTACAATAACTACATGCATGATGCATTAACTATTTAACTTATCAGATTTTACTGTCAGCAAAACACTTTCCCTGTAGGCATACATCATCCTCAATTGACCTTCTCTATGGTGGCCCAGGCGTGCCATAGAAAATTTTGATATCTTTCTATTTTTTTAAATATAATTTTTTTAATATCTTTTTATTTAATTTTTTTTCAAACAAAATTTATTTCTAAACTCTGTTTTTTTTTTAAATTTATAAAGTATTTTAATGCAAAATATTTTATACCCTTGGCCCAGGTGTGCCATTAAAAAAACAACAAGAAAACGTCATCGCCCAGGCGTGCCAATGGTGCTAAGCACTGATCCACTTCCCATACTGTTTCATTACTTTCATATGGGGAAAGCCGTGAAATGATTTGTGAGGGGTATGTTCTCACAATATTTCAGAAAGATAAAGTATCTAACCCATGACTGCTGAACATAGAATTTTGAGATCGCAGGTGCACTATATATGTACTTGTGGGTGAAACTAGAAAACCGAGAAAAAATCCTAATCAGCATGAGAAGTGGAAAGAATTGTATACAAATATTTCAAAGAAAAGAACGGGAAAGAAATCTGGATCAGGCAATACTGCTCCTGAAGTTCTCACTGTTCAACGTTTATCGGAGGAAGTAGAAGGTAAATGTAAAAAATATTCCCGAATCAAAGCGTTAACTATGGTACCATTTGGTGAGGAACTGTCCATGGAAACGTAAAAAAAGCATGTTCAAAGCATTTTAATGTCTCGAAGCACATGGAATGTGATGTATTAGCAGGGGAGAGGGGACCATCGTTCAATGATATTAACCAAATTTCAAATTTGAAGCTACTCCACATGTGATTTGTTGAAAAAAGCTACAGTGTCGAAGTCGATGATCGTGAAGTGAAACTGGAAGTGGTGGTTCCATCCTCATCTTCTGCATCTTTCCCGAAAAAACTGGTGGGAGACTGCCCCACTACGTGCATCATCATCACCATGCAGATCCAAAATGCCTGCGCCAGTACCACTGAGTGCAGGGGTTTTTTCAGGGATTTTTTAGGGCCGTTAAACGGCCCCAAAAACTCAATCTTAAATTGAGTTTTGAAACTCAATCTTCTCACCAAAGTTTCAGTGAAGTAAAAATGAAGTTGTTTAAGTTAAATTTCGTACGTGTGGAAATTAGTTTTCAGTTGGAAGCTCAACAATTAAGAAAAAATGGCTGGAATTCATCTCACAACACAAGAAAAACTATGCATTCGCAATCTTTAACCAGTTTATAGTGTCCCTTAGTGCCCCTGCTTTAACACATTCCGTCTCAACTACATTTATTGAGTACAGGTGTCAGCCCCCCGGTAGGGGGTGGGTGCAGCCACCCCAGCTGTTCAGCTAAACTCAATCTTTCTGCAAAAACGGACCCAAGAGAAAATCCTGAAAAAAACCCTGCAGTGCCATGGTCACATTGCAGCTTGAAGAGTTTTCTGTGGAGGAAAAACAATGGCTTGATCCGTTCGATGTATGGTTATCTCTGAAAAGGGACAAGTTTGCAAGCGGGGGATTCAGGGATGCATTTGAGTTCTGGCCTTAAAGGGAGATTTGTCTTGAAGAAGTATAAAGAAGATCAAGTTCAAAGCATTATTGCTAATTTTGGATCACTGGAAATTCATACCAGAAAAGTGGTTCAAATTCCCACTTTGGCAAGGCATTTCATGAAATGCTTGAGCAATGAAATACCCCCAGATTTTGGTGCTTTGTTCCTTTACAACAAGCTTTATTATGGTAAGCTTGATGAGCAGTGCATAACCATCGAACAGTACCTTGATGGCGATTTTCGTAAATACATCAACAACACTGGTGAAATTATTGTTTCTGATGGTAGTGATTTGTCTGAAATGTTCTCTCATTATACCTATATCAAGTTAGGGAAGCGACTCATGGTACTCTATATCCAAGGAGCTGGCTATTCACTCTGTGATCCTGAGATTGCAAGTGCAGAGTTTACTGACACTGATGACAACATTTTCTTCTGCAATGGCAACCTGTCACATGGTGCGATTTATTCCTTTGTGTCACACCATGTGTGGTGAACATTTGTCTCATACCTATGAACCAATTCTGCAAACGCCTTCTTTTACATGAAAAGTGAGGTGAACATTTGTCTCGTAACTATGAACTGTTATTTAGCATTGGTTTTTTGTGTGCAAAGGTATACAATGCTCACTGTTCACATTTTTGAATTGTGTTATTCCAATTAATATCTGCACCAACAGCCCCCCCCCTGTTTGAGGACAATTCTGCAAACGCCTTCTTTTACATGAAAAGTGAGGTGAACATTTGTCTCGTAACTATGAACTGTTATTTAGCATTGGTTTTTTGTGTGCAAAGGTATACAATGCTCACTGTTCACATTTTTGAATTGTGTTATTCCAATTAATATCTGCACCAACAGCCCCCCCCCTGTTTGAGGACATGTATTTCTTTATTGTGTTGGAATTTCCACATGTTTCTTTCCATGTAATTTCCCAACATTTTTTTATGAACTTCTAACTTATCCCATAAAAATACCTTGATATTTTCTGACATAGCTGGTGGAATTTCTATATGTTTTCTTTGATAACTTCGAAAATTGGGTGTGTGGATATTGATTGGAATTGACCATTGTTGTGTTTATTGTTAAAAAAAGACTAATACTTTTATGGTAATATATGCCAACTTTTATACAAACAGAAGTACAATTCTCATATTATTAATGGAATAGATTTAAAGAAAAAAACTGTTTGAATGTACATATAGGGTGTTGCTCTTTGGGTAAAGTCATCATTGGACAAGCAACATGATTCACTGTGGCAGAATTGTTACAAAACTCTTGCTAAATCAATATTTGCTTTCAAATACAGGTATGCATGCATTAACTGCTTCTGCCGGTTCTATAGCATCAACATTGGGAATGTGACGCTCAAATTCATGCCAGAAATTCTCAGTGAGAAAGTCATCGGCTTCTTCTAAAACATTTGAAAGCTCTGCAACTTGTTGAAGTTGTTCCTCTGTAACAGGTAGTTCTCACCACCATATTTCTCCGGGAAACTGTATATGTGTTCCGGAACACCCACCGGTAGTTCTTTATCCCTTTGATACCGTCTTCGGTGGTTATTCCAAATTGATGTTCGAAATATATCCAATTCTTTTTGTAGCACAGGTATATAAACGAAAGTTAGTTTGCTTAGGGAATGGTCATTATTTATAGGGAAAAATAAGGATTGAAAACTTTTTTGACCCCCTTCCAAACTGAAGACTTTTGTGCCCCTCCTCATAAAAGTAGAAATTTTTCTCCCCCCCCCCCTGCAGTGTGGATTGAAAAATTAACAGCATTGAAACAGGTGGGGGTTGCAGGTAAAGTTAGACATTAGAACAATCTGTTTAATCTAACTCATGATGTTTTACCCTGGTGAATATGATTTATTTAATGCAACATTTTTCCTACCATAACCCTAACCCATGGCCCGTTTTCATACAGCGAAATGATTTGAACACAGGGCTTTTTTTAAGAACTGGGGGGCATCTACAAAAATAGGTACGCTAAGCGTACATGTATCTGCTCATGGTGATTGCACTTTTGCCAAGGCTTCAATCAACACTCAGTAGCTTGTAAAAAAAGTTAAGGGACTGATGTTTAACAGTTGACCAGTTAAATAAAGTTAGATTTATAGTATGTCAGATGAAAGAAAAATAAAATGGCTGATATATATTCAACTTGCAGAAACTAATTCCGTCCATAACGTCACAAAGATGATATTCAATTTTATGATGTTCTTGTTGAATCATCTTAATTTTATAATGTTCTTGCAGGGATGGATCCAGCATGATCTGATAGGGGGGGGTACTCTGTCCGCTCTGGTGCCGAGTTGTGTCGGTCATGTGTGCCACCCACCCATCAACTTGCTTCACTATTGCAAAGTCTTGCTTGACTACAGTATTTGAATTGTAATTGTTGTTCACAGTTTGCCTATCATCATATTATTACTCAAATTTCTGTATCTCATTTTGTTTCTAATAATTTTTTGTTTATCATGAAAAATAGGACCCCTTCCTGCACCCCCTCTGGCCAGGGCTAGGGGGGCGGGTGCACCCCCCCCCACATCCTCCCCCCCCCAGTAAATCCATCTCTGTGTTCTTGTTAAAACATTTCGGGTTCCAAATCTTCTTGATAGTTCATAATAAACTTTAGCAGGCATGCGAGAACATGGTAGATGCATAGAAGTTGTCAGGATAACAGGTGGTCCCAATATACATTGTTGTTCATTGTTGATTAATTGATTCATTGACATTATTGACACTCCCCTGAAGGGGCTTTTCAGCGACAAAAATTACAAACACATAAACTTACTGTATTATTACTACATTAGTCCTAATTAATTTTATTGAAACAGATTACTAGCAAACAAGGAAAATTTCACAAAAACTGCGACAGAGACATCAACAACAACAACAACAACAACAACAACAACAACAACAACAACAACAACAACAACAACAACACATCAACAACAACAGCAACAGCAACAGCAACAGCAACAACAGCAATGATAACACACCAACAGTAGCATCGACAACACTTATTGATCAACTACTGAAAAACAAGTACTTAATAACTATCCAGGAATTGCTGGAGAGTTTATGTCTTAGTTTTAACTTTACATTTTGCAGAGTTTTGGAAGCCTTCTTATAACATCTTATACATAACATCAACATTTCTGCTGTTTATAATTGTTTTTAAATATAATCTATTTCCTTTTAGAAAATGTCATAGTCAGGGTTGATTGCACACAAATCAACTGTTTATGCCTATAAATATATCAAATAGGTCATATATTGAAAGTCATTCATCAGCAACAAATGATGACAAGTATGGAAATTAGAAGTATAATTGATGCATATAGTTCTTGAATAGAATGATATAATTCAGCATAACAGATCCATGCAATAATATTTTGTCGTGGAAGAAAATCCACTAAACAGAATATTATGTTAGTTTTGTACATTGTGTGCTATATTAAATAATATCCCATTATGACATATGGTTGTTGTTGATTATAAGGCAATATAGTATGGGATAGGTGAAGGGGGATATAAATTGCTTAACTGGTGTTCTTGGCAATGACATTCAGTTGCAGAAATCAGGGTCGATGAAGAAGGGAGCATAGTTGATAATTATGACTGGTTGCAACTGTTGCTATAAGTATTGATATTCCAATCTAAAACTGAATCTCTGCTCTTTATGCAGCCACTATTACCTTGGCTTTGCTTTAATGAAAGCAATTATTCAATGCACATACTGCTATAAAGTGCTTTAAGAGAAATGTTTCCAATATGTGTGACTTAGCTTCTGACTCTGCTAAATTTGTATAAGAATGATCTATCAAAGTCTGTAATGAAAGCAGACACCAATTGTCTATAGTTATAATCATTGATAAAGAAATTATGTAACCTTACGAAATTATATAGCCTTCTATTGGTTTCATTCAAGTCATTTATATTAACTAAGTCAGTTGAGAAGTACATAAACATCAACATCAACACTTACAACTCGATATACACCAACAACGGCAACATGCGGAAGAATCATTACTTTCATAATTTTCTAATAGTATTCTCAATGCCATTAGTCAATAATTTTCTTGTCCAAAATTGCAAATCATTTCGTTTCCACTGCGTATTAAATGATGAAACCTTTCAAATGCTTGCCAAAAATGCACTATCGACAATTGCCATATTCAGACTAGTAAAATGACGTTGTTTTAAACTGCATTTTATGTATAATTTTAATCGTAAATTCACAAATCGCCTTTTGTTTCACCCTTTAGTAAGCCGCCATTTTGAAATTAGTATCATTACGTCATTTCATCTATAAGCTGTCGTTGATTGGCTATGAGCACGCTTACAAATTTCCGGTACGCGCACGATGGCAATATATCTGCTTCGCAGATACAAAAAGGGATCACACTATATTGAATGCAGATAGATGACAGGTGGTTGTTGGTGACAAAAAGTTTGGCGTGGTATTGTATGTACTAGTAGGGGAGTCTGGGGGTATTCTCCCCCAGAAAATTTTTGTTTTGTATTTTTCCACCCCTAGGACTGAAATGTGAGCATTTTGTGAAACAGATTTTTGGATATACAGCGTTACGTTATGCTTTGATAGACCGAATCTCATCAGTTAAGCACTTGCGTGGTATGTTTATGTAAATACCACAACTGGGTCACTCAGAGGGTAGGAAGCTTTAAACTTAGTGGGCCTAACCTGAAGTTCAGGCCCTAATTTGAAATAGGGCCTGACACAAAACCTGTCTAGACCGTGGGACGCCCACATGTTATTTTAGACACACATGCAATATGATTGACAAGTGTTGTAGATTTCGTTACACAAAAATTTATATTCTCATGAACATGTCCGCAGAGCATTTTGCTTTTTAATTAAACTTAAAAATTCAAGGTACTTTTATATAATTAAGAGTCAGTTTCTCTATTTAACCAAACAGCAAACAAAGATTTAATTAGTCAGTTCTGTGCACGGCTTGACTGCCAAGCTTTCTCAAGGTCTCAACTTGCTGGACGCGGATCAGTACTCTAACGACTATTAACGGGCTAACAACAGCAACAATGAAATTCTCAATCATACCACAAAGAAGGTGTTGTAGCTCAGAAAACAACGCCGGTAGGACCTGATATTAAAAACTAGGGATCCAAGGATAGTGTGAAGTTTCAAATTTAAAAAGACACTGCAAGAACTATATAGGGTCGCCGACAACCCAGAAAAGCTTGATGGCTTACACTACGAAATAAACAGCCACCAAAGGCATTTCATCTCATTATTTATTGCTTTTGATACGGTCGGCACACGAGTAGCGTGACGTTTGAAACAAGCATAACACATCAGAAACGTGCCTTGTGAAACTGATGCAATTCATCTATTTATTGTGTCACCAACAACCAAATTTTGCATATTCTAAATTTTTTTCATTTGCATTTGCAGCTGTCGCTGAAAGCATCCCCACGAGGCTACTGCTATGCTAAATTTATCTAATAAACT